TGGTGATTGTGATACTTCTGGAACAAGTGTGACTGATTTGACAGATGGTGTTTTGTTAACTGCCTTAATAAGATTGTCATCTGTTGTTTGCTTGACAACAATTGTAGGCAATGACTCCTTGATAGCCATCTGTTCTACTGTAGTTTCCGAAACAGAATGATCTTCATTATAATTATCTTTTTCATTTGGATTTGGAGTTTCAATATCGATAACGATATCCTCATCTTCATCTTCAGCCTGGAGTTCGATGGTCTGAATGTCTTTATGTTTTTCATTCGAAAGGTCAGCCGGGTTTTGTTGATAATCACTAGCACTATTGTTGTTGTTGTTGTGGGTGGGAACAATATCTTCCATTGTAGTTGCTGTTGTGGTGGTGGTGGTATGATGAGATTGGGGGATATCTTTTGTCAGCAGCTCAGAGGGATCAATATCCATTGGCATTACAGGTACTACGGCTTCGGTCTCTTCGTGTTCCTCGTGTATTTTGGGTTCAACAGGGGCGTGTGCGTCGGTGGAGTGGGTGTAAGCAGCCGCAATGGTATTGCGTCTCGTGGTGTCGACCGGATCAGGCAGGGATCGCTGGTGCTGTGGGTTGGAAAGGACCATGTGCATGGGCAAATCAGCGGACCGCATGGCCTCGACTTCAAGTTCCGCCGTCGACTTTTGGAAGAGAGATCTGTGAGGACTGAGCCAGGCGTGGTTCATGATGGTGTCCATGGTGCATCTGCGGACCGGATCTGGGACGAGCATCTTTTGGAGCAAGTCTCGGGCCTCAAAACTGATGTAGTCTGGGAAGGCCAGAGGGGTATTGAGGATGTATTTGTAGAGTAGGTTGATGTTGTCGCCGTCCGGATTGGCCGGGTCGTCGTCAAAGGGCAGGTATCCACAGAGCATTGCGTATAGGATCACACCGCAGGACCAGATATCGACGGCCGAACCAACATAGAGGCCTTCCGAGATGACGAGCTCTGGAGCAGCGTAACAGGGGGATCCACACGAGGTTGACATCAAAGCATCTCTAGAGGACGAGAATTGGTTTGCGAAACCAAAGTCTGTGATAATGATACTTCGGTGTCTGTCGAGCAAGAGGTTTTCCTTGAATTAGATAGATTTTTTTTAATATAGAAAAATATATATATACATATACATACATATATACATATATACATATATACATATATACATATATACATATATACATATATATCTATATATCTATATATCTATATATCTATATATAGATATATAGATAATATAGGTAATGATTTTGAATAGATAATAAATGATAAATAAACCTACCAGTTTGAGGTCTCGGTGTACAATGTGTTTCTGGTGCATATAGTGAACTCCACTGATCAACTGGGCAAATAATCGGCTGGCGTCCTTCTCTTTGAGGTATCTGTGCGCAAGGATATATTCAAACAATTCACCACCAGAGGCACACTGGAGAATGATTCCGATATATTTTTCGGTTTCTATTACATCGTACAACTTGACAATGTAAGGGTGTCTGACCGTCTAATGTGAAGTATATTGACCGCCTTTTAAGTATACATACCAAAGAAAACATTTAGTTTTTTTATTATTATCTTACTTTACCTTTAAAACCGAGATCTCTCGTTCAACCTTTGTCATACGTGTAGAAGAATCAATATTGTCCTTTTTGATGAGTTTGATCGCGACCTAGGATAACAAAAAGGTACAAAATAATAATAATAATAATAATATAAAATAAAATAAAATTAATTGGTGCGATTATTGTTATTATTATTATTTTAGCTTATCACTCGGTAAATAACCATAATTATAAAACAGAATAAATTGAGTCTATCAATTCTATATATGTAAATATTGTTGTTGTTGTTGTTGTTGTTGTTGTTGTTGTATATATATATATCTTGTAAATAATAATAATATAAATATAAATATATATTTACCTCGTGGCCTGTTTCAATGTGAATTGCAAGCTTTACTTTACCAAATTCACCTTCTCCCAGGGTCTGTAACAAAAGATATGGTCCGAATACGGTCGGTTTTCTGCCGAGGGGAGGGTGGTAGTGGTAGAGTTGGTAATAGTACTGCCACCAGGGCTGTTCCTGTAACTGGCGCTGTTGTTGTTCGGCCTGCTGCTGCTGCTGTCGCTGGACGGTGCGTTGTAGTTCGTGGGGCATGGCGGTGACAGAGTATGCTCGTTGTTGTGGGTAGGTCTGTCTTGGAAAAGGTAAGTCGGAAGGTGCATAAGAAGAGATATTATTTGCCGTAGTGGAAGAAGGAGCAAGAGTGTCATGGGGATGGTGACTCGGAGTTTGAGGGGTAGGTGGTCCGGTATTTGAAGAAGGAATGTCGGATGCCATGATGGGATGATGGAGCCCTGGCAGGAGGGAAAATATATAAAAGAAATAGGAAGAGGAAGAAGAGGAGTAGTAATAGTGATGGTTATACGTATTATATATATAAAAGAGAGAGAGAGAGAAGCGTTAGACTCCTGGACTCGTAGTAGGTCAATAGAGAGGGTCACACACTTTCTTTTTCTTTTTTTTTGTATAGAAAAAAAAAAGTGTATATATAATATATATATATTTAAAAGACTGTTTTTTTTAACCTTTTTTTTTTTTTTTGTAACAAAAAAAAAGGCGTGACGAAATATAAAATAAAATAAAATAAAATAAATTAAATTAAATAAATTAATATTAATATTAATATATAAATTAAATAAATTATTATTATCAAGTTGTAAATGATTTGTAGTGAAATCAAAATTAAAAACAAAACAAAAAATTAAGATAATGATATTTACTGATTATTATTTTTTTGTACCTTTTTTTGTTTTTGGTTTTTTTTTTTGGTTTTTAGAAAATAAATATATTTAATATATTTTGTGTAAAAGAAGTAAAAAGGAGAGAAAGATAGGTAGACAAGAGAATCTTTGATGTGTATTTCAACTAACAAATATTCTTCCAGATCAAAATGAGTGAGTGAGTGAGTGAATGAGTGAATAGGTGAGTGGAAAATGAGTGTAGAGAAATGAGAGACGAGCGAAAGAAGAGGTAAAGAAAGGAGGAAAGAAGAAAAGAAGAAGAAGAGTAAAAAATGAAAATTACAAAAAATAAAGAAAAAGGGTTTCTGGTACTCTTTTTTTCTTTTTTCTTTTTCTTTATTTCCTTTGTGTGTGTTTTTATATATATATTGTGTGTGTGTGTTTTTTGTTTTGTTTTGTTTTGAAGAGCAGCGTAACACCAAATATACAGAATTCAATCAAATGAACACAAAACTAAAAAACGATAGGGAAGATTTACAATGGAGAAAAAAAAAAAGAAAGAAAGTGAAAGATTAGACCCAGACAAGGGAATCCTTCCATGGAGTGGGGGTTGGAGTTGAGGTGGGATTAGAATTAGAATTAACTGAATTAGAATTAGAATTAGAATTAACTGAACTAGCAGAAGAAGAAGAAGAAGAAGAAGAAGTAGATGAAGATATTGGAGTTGTGGCAGGGGTTAAAATGGAATTGACAGTAATAGAAGAAGATAATGATGACGATGGCGATGACGATAATGAAGAAGAAGAGGAAGAAGAAGAAACAATGTTATTACTACTACTACTACTACTACTACTACTATTGCTGTTGTTGATGTTGGTATTGGTATTACTGCAATAATCATCTTGAGGAATGGGAAAATGACAGAATCGAAGGGGAGAACGGGGCTTTGGAAAGTGGCTAATGACCTCCTTCCAGCTCTTTATACGCTTGACATTGGACGGCAAGACTCGCGGTGGGGTTCGTTGGTAGAGACGGCGGGATGTCGATGTCAGAGTAGCCTTGGGCCGAGGACGGGCTCGATCCACATGGCTCCACTTGTACTGTCCTCGGCGGTCATAGAGCAGCACATCAATCCCAAGCGCAGCACAGTCCAGTGCATGATCGAGGCGGTGGTCAATCAGGACATCTGCTCCGATTTCTTGACAGATTGCAGACTTTGGTTTTGACACATAGTCCAGCTGGTCGGCTGTATCGGACATCCCAAAATTGCAAAAGTAAATGCTCTCAAATAGACCGGGATAGTGTCGATCGACAAACTTCTTCGTCAGCTCGGCAACACACTGCTGCCGCGAGGTAATGATGACCAGCGAAAACCGTCGGCGCTTCAGAGTCTTGAGGGTCTCGAGAGCAAAATCATCAATGGGCCGGATACGTTTGAAGTTGTCTGATTCATAAAACTCGCGCATCTTGGCATCCCTTTCTTGATGGGATCCCCCCCAGACCTTGGAGTAATCTGTCGTGTCAAAGTCTGAGAGATGGAGGTGGGTCTGATGAACTTGGTTATGCCAGCTAATCAGTGCTTCGAGTGTATGTGCCAGTGTCTGGTCAAGAGAAACTGCTATTATTTTACGAGGTTCTCGATGAAGTGGTGGCATTTTATATTATTATTTTCTTTTATCAAATTTTAATTTATATATATATTGTATATTTATATATCAAATTATATATATATTGTATCAAGTAAGTAAGTAAGTAAGTGAGAGAGAGAGAGAGAGAAAAAGAGAGGAACAAAAAAGAGTTTTCTTTTTTTTTTTTTTGAGTTGAAAGGGGTACGGATGTTTATTTATCCAACTATAGTGGCTGGCTGGCTTTTCTTTCTTTTGGAATTAAAATTGATGGTTGTGATTTTAGACCCCAATGCTGGGTATTGAGATTCTGATCTTGGCTGCCTTTGATACAAATAATACATAGATAGATAGATAGATAGATAGATCTGTAGTATGCAAGATGTTAAAGTATAGCTGTTAATTTTACACAAAGGCTGATGATTATCTCTGGTGTACCTGTCAAATGGTTGCAGACAAAATAATTATAGATTCTTCCCCTATCTTTTAAAAAGAAATAAGGCATACAAAATAAGATTGGGTTTCTAAACCATGATAGGCACAAAACCACTATTTCTCTAGAGCACATTAGATCTATGAATAAACCTACATGGTTAATAGTGCTAATCGTCTTGCTGATACTGAAGCCACTGCTGTTTTTTGTTATTGTTTTATTAATATATGCTGTCATTGTTATTTTTATTTATTGGCTTGTGATTAAATACAGATTAAGGCCAAGGCTTGTAAGCCAATAATTTATATTTCATCGACATCAATAGAAACAATATGTAAAACTAAATATGCCTTTAAATAGTCCAAATATTTATACAAATAATCCAAGTAGTCAAGTATGGTGCTATTCAATTTGATCAAGTAAAGTCAAGTCAAGTCAAGTAGATTTGCACCAGAAACGCTGTAGTGTCATTAGAGTGTAATATACAACTTGGCTTTATTTATATGCATATTAAAATATACTGTATATACAATTGAAATAAATATAAACACAACAAACAGATACATACATAGATGTACATATATCAAAATCTAATAAACAGGCTTTCACACACAAATATAATTATTTTTTGTTTGTTTAAATTAGCTCTTCATCTTCCTTCCTTCCTTCCTTCCTTCCTTCCTTCCTTTCTTTCTTTCTCATATACTATCTCTCTCTTTATTTATTTTTATATTTCTCCTTATTTCATTCAGTTAGTCCCACTACCATACACACAAAGAAAGTAAAGTAAAGATGTCTCTTTCTACAGACGTTGTTCCTCGCTCTGACCATAATGGCCAATCGACCGCCATTGTTGTTACCCACCACCGCCGCCTGTTCAGTCCAGTCGTGCTGTTCTTTCATGACAGGCACTCGGACACAGAATGTAGTCTAATAGAAGCCAAAAGAATCCAGATCAATGAAATGCTGCGTATGAATAGTCGGTACTGGAGTCACATCATCCAGTCCACTCGTCCGAAAAAGTCAACATCAAGCTCCACTTCAAATATGTCAAATACATCCACTTCAGCACTAGGATTAGGATTGGGATTGACAGCAACATCCTCATTGACATTCTCCAAAACCAGAATCTCAAACACAATCTCAAACACAGACACAAACAAAGTAATAACAAAAACAAAAACAAAAACCAATCCCAAACCCAAACCCAAAACAACACCAAAATCAAAAAAAAAACCAAGACCCAAAAGAAAGACAAACATAAACACAGACATAAACGTAAATTCAAGTTCAAGTTCAAGTTCAAGTCCTAGCTCAAGTCCTAGCTCAAGTCCTAGCTCAAGTCCTAGTCCTAGTCCAAGCACAAGCTCTAGTTCCAGTTTGAGTAAAAATAGAAGAAGCAGAAGTTCGAGTATACACTTACTCTGTGCCAGTCAAAGTCAAAGTCTTTCTCCACCACAGACTCCACCTCAGTATCGTCGTCATCTGCAGCCGTCATTGCAACACACAAGAATTAACAAGACTCCTTATTTTACAAAGGAGGAAGACGAGGGGGTGGCAATTACTACACAACCTACTACTAAAAATACCACTACCGCTACTACCGCTACTATCGCTACTAATACTATCGCTATCGGTGCTGCTGTTAATACGAATATTGCCAATCCACACACCGTGACATCAACCTTGGCAAGATCATTAACGACCAGAAGGACAAACAACAGCCAGACAGAAGAATGGTACCAGCTCGATGAGCCAATGACAATGCTGACTGGTGAGAATGGTCGCAAGAGACGAGGAAATCTACCAAAGAATATTATTGCGATTCTCAAACAATGGCTGACTGACCATTGCAACCATCCCTATCCGACCGAAGAAGAAAAGGTTGAACTCAGAACACGGACAAATCTGACACTCAATCAGATATCAAACTGGTTTATAAATGCCAGACGGAGACATCTACCCATGATACTTGTCAATGTTGACGATCAACGGTCACTACCGAACAGCACCAAACGACGACGTACGAGTAACAGTACCAGCAATACTGTTAATAACGGTGGCGTGGCTAAATCCCGGGAAAGGGCTGGTATTCGTGAGAATAGTAAAAAGAAAACAGACGGCTAAAGTCTAAATAGCTTGTAAAATCCAAAAAATAAAATAAAGCAAGATGATTTTTTTTAAAGAAAAGGAGAAACGTATATATATATATATATGCATATGTAATGTATATGTATATGTATATATATAAATATGCATATGTAATGTATATGTATATGTATATGTATACGCACGTACACAAGTACAAGAAGTATATATATATGTAAAGAAGTCTAAAATAAAATAAAATATTGATTTTTCTTTATATTACACACTATATACTTGCAAGCACATAAAATTAATAGCTACAAAAGATGGTATTGATCAATTCTATGCTACGTGTGTTTATTAAAATGAATAGAATGTGTACCTTTATATTTTGAAATTCTCTCTCTCTCTCTCTCTCTTTTACATATATGTGCTTTTTTTATTAAAAACCCGCCAATTTGCATAAATATACAATATTTTATATTGCCAGTCATGAGCTGTGGAGACTCTTCTGTGTTACCATGGTTTTTTTGTTTTGTTTTTTGGATAAATATATATTTCAGAATCACAAGTATATTCAATACAATAAACCCACCTTTACCAAATTATACCTATGATATTGATATTATTATGTGGATAAGTAGGGGATCCAGGAAACTCACCAGGCAATTTAGGCATCAATTGATAGAAAATGAAACATATACATATATTCTCTTTGCGGTAATCTTAATAATCCAAGGTTTAAATGGTTTTTGGGTTGTACAGTTTGTAAGGATGATTTTCTTTGCTTATTAATAAAACAAATGTTGTTCCAAAAGTTACTTTTTGTTTTTTGGTGAACTGACCACACCAGATATAATACTATTTCTTTAACAATACTATTAGCAATTAGGAAATGGGCCTGTGTCTTTGTCAGATATATATATATATATATATATATATAATGGTTTATTCATTCATTCATTCATTGATTTAAATTAACCTTGGATAAAAAAAAATATTATTTTATTTTATTTTTTTGGTCCTCTTGGTTTTGTATCACCAGTTCCACAGGCACTCTGATCTCATCTTTCAACCTTTTCTCTCCTCTCCCCTCTTTTCTATATAAATATTGCAACATAGCAACAGATTAGTTTATGCGGGTCTCTAAGAAATACAAAATATTATTAATATAAGCACCCATTTATATAATATATATATATATATAAAAGGTAGTATTAATACTAATAATAATAATGATGATGATGATCATAATGATCAAATCGGTTTCAAATCAAGAAAATATTAGATAAAATTAAAAATAAACCCCGACTATATACATTATATACAAGTAAAAAGTAAAAAATTTAAGGTATTTAACAGAATCATTTATATATATATATATATAATTATTTGATCTCCTTCCTCCCTCCTTTATATATATATATATATCAATTTTATTTTATTTATTTCCTTCTACCCCTTTCTTTATATATATATTTTATAATAAACTTTCATTTACATATATATATATATATATATATTTAAAAGAATTGTATATATGACTATGGAACTTACAGAGAAGATAGACAGTGATACGCAAACAGTTATCGATGTCGACTTGGGTTCAAAGCAAGACACTCAACCTATAGATCGCAAAACCCTAGTGTGGATCATGGCATCGCAAGTAAAAAAAAAAATAAAAAAAAAAATACGAGACTCATTCAAGGAATCTCATCAAACTAATCTTGAACATAAAAATGAAACCAATATATACAATTTTGTTTTTTTTTTTAGACTGTGCGTTATTTCATTCTTGGCTGCCTTTGACAATATCATTGTTGCTAGTAACCTACCTCTTGTAGCCTCAGGTAAATCGAGATATAAACAAAAAGATTAATAATCAATGATTAATAATCATTTTCTTATATATATAAAGAATTCAATGCATTTGGATTGTACAGTTGGGTCAATACAGTAAGTAACACATTGTCACTAATATATATATATATATATATAAGAAGTGTATTTAAAATAAAGAATATCAGTCTTTTCTTTTGACAGCTTCTACATCACAGCCGTTGTACGCCAAGGGTGCAGATAGGGTTGGGCGAAGGACGTGTCTGTTGTTTGCGACATGCTGTTACCTCATAGGCACTGTGCTATGTGGCGCGGCCCAATCGATGATCATGTTGATCGTCGCACGCGCACTGTCTGGTCTTGGGATAGGTGCATTTGATAGTCTAATGAAGATTGTGGTTGCTGGTAAGATCTAAACGAATAAATAAATAATTAAATCTAATATTATTATTATTTTACAAAAAAAAAAAGATTATATCCCAGTACGTTATATCGGTCTCTATCAATCACTTCTTGGAATCTCTTGGGGTCTTGGCTACATAGTAGGAGCTCTATTAGGTAAATACTATCCATTTATACATCTATACTTGTAGATTCAGTATAACTAACATGAGCTTTATCTAAACGTCTTGGTTTAATATCAGGTGGATATGCAGCTACAGAATCTGGTTGGCGTACTGTGTTTTGGATGGCAGTAAGTCTTTTTTTTTAAAAAAAAAAACATGATAAATGTCAACATACTAACATTTGATTTTGACGTTTGTTTTTTTTTTTAAGCTTGGCATGTAAGTATTATATATATATTATTTAAACTATAATAATAATAATGTTAAATAATTGCTTACAAATATTTCTATTTTTATATGTATGTATGTAGATCTGTGGTTGCTCTTGTCTTGATTTTCTTCTCAATTGAAGGCAACACCCGAACTGGAATAACAGCAGCAGGAAGAGAGGGAGTCCTGAGTCACCAACTAGCCCAGCTAGACATTGCAGGCATGGGATTGTGGATTGCAGGAATTGTTTGCCTTGTTCTTGCCTTGAGTTGGGGAGGAACAACCTATGGTAAAATATACATCAATCAATCAATCAATAATCTGCCTATCTGACAGCCTTTAATTTTTCTATTATATATGTAATGAATATAAAAGCATGGAACTCGTCTATAGTCATCTCATTGCTCTGTGTCTCGGCCGTTCTTTTGGCCATCTTCTGCGGCTGGGAGTACAAGTGGGCTGCCGATCCGATCATACCTCACACAATATTCACCAACCGAAGCACGGTCCTGATCCTCATTGCTGCATTTGCATATGGCGGCTGCTTCCAGTCCCTGATGACCTACATCCCACTCTATCTGTCGGTGATCCGCAAAGAAGACTCGATGGCCACAAACCTCGAGCTGCTCTGTCTGGTCTTGCTGGCCTGCATCTTCAATGTCCTGACAGGCTTTGTGATCGTCCGGACCGGCCGCTACACCTGGGCTACCCGACTCTCGCTCGCAATTCTGGTCCTCGCCTGTGGTTTGCTCCAGTTTCTAGCCAAGGATTCTAGCCGAGGATTGATTGTGGGTCTGATGATTGTGACCGGCATAGGAAGTGGAGGCATGATTAACAGTGAAATCATTACTGCACAAGCATCTGTTTCAATTGAACAGTAAGTTTTTTTTTATTTATTTTTCTTTATGTAAATGCTAATTATATATATATATATATATATATAATATAATATAAAAGTGTGCCTGTCATGGTTGCATTCATGACATTGTGTGACCAGGTGGGTGGCATTACAGGAATTGCTGCCCAGGGAAGTATATTGTCCAACCGTCTTGCCTACAACCTCTATATCTTGGACTTGCCGGGCGTCTCGGCTCCTCTTGTACGCCAGAGCTCAGACTACCTCTGGTCACTGCCCTTGCCAACCCGAGACATTGTTCGGGAAGCGTACATGGAAGCTGTCAGAATGTCATTCTGGGGATCAACTTCATTTGCTGCAGCAGGTCTGTTGGCCGCTCTGGGCATCAAAGCCTATGTGATGCGCACCCAGATCCATACCTAAAACACATACAACTATCCTTTGTCTATAATACATCGTATGCTATTCATGTTGTGTCTATTTATTTGTGTTTATAGATAAACTAGCTGTATACCCATGATTATTATTTTTTGTTTTTGTTTTCTTGCTTATTCTTGTAATTTACACTTGACATGTGAAATTCTCCCTCCCTCCATTAATTTTCATACTTTTATTTGTAATCTTTAAATTATTATTTTTTATATTTATTTTCAAAAAAAAAAGAAAAAAAAAAAGAAAAAGACTATATAGATTTGACAAAATTATATATTTCAAAGAGGTTTAAATGAGTCTAATGAAGTAGATTCAAAGAGGTCCATTTTTCTTGCTTGCTTGTTTTGTTTTATTTAATAATATGTATAAAATTATTTTTTTACGTGTAATTTGTGTTTGGTAGTTGTGGCTCTTGATCTTCATTCATGGTTTGTCTGTTCTGACTTCCATATTCAAACAAAGATATGATTATCTAGTATGATAATCCTACTTATTTGTTGACCTTTTTCCACTGAGTGTTCATGGCCAGCAAAGATGTAGCCATACTATATATAAATTAAATAAATTTATATTATATTATTATTTTTACCCCACATTCAAAAAAAAAAAAAAAAAAAAAAAAAAAAAAACTTACCCAGCCAAACCAAGGATACCTTCATCCAAAGGAAGGATTTCAAGACCACCCAAAGGAATAAGGATATCAATAGAGTCCTGAAGGAACTGGTAGCGAGTAGAATAGGCATCCCTAAGTAATATAAAAGTATATATTAAGTCAAATCAAATCAAATCAAATCATACAACCATTGATTCCCCTCTTCATGTCAATAAATACTAATAGACCACTCTTTTATAAATAATGAAAAGAAAAGAAAAAACTTACTTTGCCAGTTGCTTCTTCTCTGCCTGTAATTCAGCCAAACGATCGACCGAGTCTTCATGCTTGGTGGCCATGGCCTTGGCAGACTTCTTGAGCATCTGGGCGCGGACCTCGAGCTGCTTGAACTTGTAAAGTCCGGTCAACAGAGAGGCAGTCAGACCAGCCAACCAACACTTTGAACCAAAGCGAGTAATGGTCTTGATGTTTTCCAACTTGTAGAACTTGATAGTATTGGCCTAAACAATATATATATATATATTTAAAAATGGCATTGTTAGATATTTTGATTTGAGTTGGTTTGATTGCTCAAACTAGGTAAACCATCCCCTTCTTCCTCTTCCTCTTCTTCCCTTTCTTTCCTTCTCCCTCCAAAAACATAATTTATATATATATATATATTTACCAGGTTGGCAGCCTCACAGCAGTAGTAGAAAAAGTAACCAAACTGCTTAACAAAGGTACCGGCTCGGATAACTTCATCTTTGATAGCCAGACTCTTGACACCATTCTGGGCAAACTCGACAGGCTTCAAGAGACGGAAGAACTTACGACCAGTACCGAGACTGCTCTTCAAATCAGCCCAACGCTGGATGGCTTCCTTTGGTGCGCCAGTACGGAGCAAGTAGAATGCATAGAAGCGAGCAAAGTATTGAACCAAGCGACAGGCTTTTTCACGACCAGCTGTGGTGGCAAGGTAACGGTTGAAGGCTTCGATATGTGCGTGTGTGATGGCCATAATTTTGTTTTTTTATTATTATTATTTTATAGTACTAATATATATTTATATATATAAAAATGTATTGGGTTGTGAAGAAAAAAAAAAGGGAAAGATGATGATGATTATCTTTTTTTATTTTATTTTATTTTATTTTTTTCTCACAAATAAAATAAAATAAAATAAAATACAAAAATGGCTGTATCACGTGAGAAAGGATTTTTAATCTCCTTTTGCTTTTCTCTCTCTCTCTCTCTTTATATACATATTCAATCAACTACTTTGAAAATAGATGATCAAGCTTTAATTATTTCATCTTTATATTTTAGCTTTAATAAAAATAAGCAAACAAAATAAAAAAGAAGTTATTTAAACTATTGCATTTGGCTCAATGCATAAATTAATGAATAAATGAATAAGCCAATCAAACTTAATAATAGTTTGTCTTTATTAACAATAAATCTGGTGTAGATGGTTTGCTATCAAAAAAAAACCCAACAATGCAACTAAAATATAATATAGTATAGTATAGGTAGGGTTAAATAGATAAGAAGCAATAATACTTTAGAAAGAAAGACAAGGGTGAGTAAGTGTGTGAATAAGGGGAGTATTGGATAGAAGGAGGGGGGGGGGGGGGGGGGGGTTCGAGTCTATATAGGTCAGAGGGCCAGATACATTAATCGTCAGACTCGTCATATATGTATATACACAGATGTGGGTAACTTATTGTTACTACTACTGCTATTATTGTTGGTGCTGTTACTATGGTAATGGTGATTACTGTAAAGTTACCTGGGGAACCCATTACACAAACATTAAAGCGAAATATAATATAATATAATAAAAATTAAAATACATATTTATTATTTATATACTACACAGGCCTGGCAATAATAACAGTTACTTATAAAGAATTATAAAATCAATTAAATAACATTACTTTATATAGAAGAAGCCATAAATATATATATACACATGAAAACGTGAAAAGAGAGAGAGAGAGAGAAAATATGAAATACACAGGGGGGGGGTATGGGGACAGGGTTCCAATTATATATATATATATATTTCATGTTTCAAAAATAAAATAAAATAAGGATTGAAATATTTATGCGTACATAAATATATATTGCCAAATAAGAATATAAAATAAATAAATAAACGGAATATATAAAATTAATATTTTATATTCTACAGCCAACATCTTCAAGATGTACTTTCACCTACTTCTTTATTGAAAACACTTCTTATTTTTACATGTCATAATATTTGGTCAATCAAGGCCCACTCCATTATCCCAATTTTTAATTTATAACAGTCACGTTATTTTTTGAACTTTAAAAGAGCCATATTTCAAATTTTAACGCTTTTATATTTATATATATATATATCTTTCACTTTCTTGTTCTTTTATTATTACTATCATTATCATCAGACATACAAAGAGAAACCTCCCAGTTTAAACCACATACAGACGTACAGCATCTGCTGGTGTCCCTGTTCAATGGTGACAATCCTTGTCAATCATAACCTGCCATACACAGCGGAACTTCAGACCTCTTGAAATTTCTTCATACCATCTCACTTGACTTATCATAGTATCTGGTCACTTGCCTCCTCAGGTTTTTCAAGGATGTCAGCAGCAGAAACGGCAAGACTTGAGTAAGATCCAAGTTTCTATAGAGTTTGCAAGAGCTATAGCCAAAGATTCAGAAATCAGCCTCGCCATAATGATTCGTTCCTTGGGCGCGACTACAAACAGTTGATGCAAGTTCTCCCAAACGTTATGACAATGCTTTTTTTTTCTGGAAATAGCAAATTTCGAACTTCTCACCAAGGCTCTCCACGGAGTTGCTAAATTGTCATCTTTGTTGTACATGCGCGGAATAAGTGAAGGCTTTGATTATTACATTGTCCTGATAAAACATGCTGTCAATGAAGTGACAGACCTGCTCCTTGCATTGGACATACACATAAAAAAATAAAAAAAGAGCAAGCACACCAAGCAGGATCACACCTTCAAGCCCAAAGTTCACCTCCTCCATCACATAGCCAAAGACATTGCTCGTTTCGGATCAGTCTCTCAGATACGAGACAGAGAATGACGAACAATTTAATAAGTTCATCCGCCAGCACCTTTTCCAAACAAACAGGCAATTAACTTCTCGAGATGTTGCTCCCAGATTTGGAAAGCAGATTATTTGCTGTTATATTCGGCTCTTTCGCACATATCTCACTTTGGTCGGGGAAGATAGTGTGAAGAGTTAGTCAATATGTAACGGTCCTCCTATGTCCCCACTCATCCTCTTGGTCACCTAAACTCACTCTCTCGGTCATTCTCTTCATCCATCTCGGTCATTTCCTACACGCAAACTCTCTCTCTCATTGTCATGGTGCGGGCCATGGTAATGAGAATGTGATGACGCCTTTTCTCCCATCTACACTCATTGTCTTTGCGAGGTACATGACAATGAGTTTGGATCCTTTCCTCCGGTCTAGCTCAGAACTTCTCCTTCACTCTCGGTCAATCTCTACACTATCTCTTTTCGTTTTCGCTGCACTCCAGCATGTTCTCCCATCTGTCTCCCCATTGTTTCCTGTTTGACTTTAGGTCACTTCCCCCCCCCCCCCTGGTTGAGCCAAGAAGCCTTCAGATCTGTCCTATCTCTTTGCGAAGACGTGGCTACAGGATGTGCTTTCTTGGGCTCTTCCCATCTCACTTTAGAAAATTCAAAAATCTCAAAAAAACGTCATATAACAAATAAAATCCAAAACAAAAGCCGTGACGTCCTCTTTTGCTTCGCAGCAATAGAGGCTCACCAACCGTCTTGAGCACAAAGCTCCCTACAAACAAAAACTATTTGCCGTTATTTGTGTAATGGCGGATATTACAATGCGATGAGGGATATAAATAAAACAAGACAGCAAATGGTCAAACCAAAAGAATACTACATGCAAAAGTATCAAATGATACCTAGCAATAGTATTGAATGAATGCATATACACTCCTCCTGCCGTAACTGTTAATGTGCATAACATTATTGTTGTTCCTTTTGGCCGTCTCCTGGAGATTCATGAAGAAAAAGAAGTTGAAGTTATCCAAGCTATAGACATTCACTTGGAGCATGGCAACAATAACAGAGAAATGCTGCCTAATGTTGAGAAATTTGGTGTGTTTTGGTGGATGTTAATGAACATTGCCAAAATCGCATAATAAAGAAATAAATATAAATTTATCGCAGTTTAAACATATTACAGACGTGATGAGATGCTTTTTTTTGTTGACATATATATACCACGTAAAATCTATAGTATAATTAAAATGGGATTTAATTTAATTTAATTTAATTTAATTTAATTTAATTTGATTTGATTTGATTTGATTTGATTTGATTTTACTCCCTTTCTTCCTTTATTTATTTTTTTATACCATTTATTCATTTTTGTGCTCCATCAAATATGCTTAGAACTGAACAAACCAACAACAGCAACAACAATTACAGAAACATCATCCCCAAAAACAATAGCAATATCAATAACAATAGCAATAGCAATAGCACTACTGGTGTGTTTGTTTTGGATCCCACTGCCAAGCCTATTTCTCATAACCAAAGGTCATGGTCTAAACCAGACGGTGGCAAAGACAACATGTCAGGCATCCAGAGACTCCTACACTTCTTACTCAAGAACGGTGGCGAAAACTTACGAAAATATCTTGGCAAGACTATAAATGGAAACCCATTTAAGGCCTCTAAGATCAAAACCATCATCAACTGCCGCCAGTACTTCCTTGAACAAGGAGTTGTGAGAACAACTAGTCAAATCAAGACTAGAATCAACAAACTGGTGACTATGCAGTACCATGATGCTTATAGAGTGTGGAACCTGAGAAACAAAGGCTCTGTTGAGTTTGATGATTCTGCTAGTGGAAAAAGAAAATCCAATAGTAAGTTTAACATTCAAATCATCCACACACACACATTGATACATTGATATTAATATTAACAATAATATCGATTAATTAGGAAAATTAGACCTTATTTGCCCACAGTTTTTTGACATGAAGATCATAATGGACACAATTGAGACAAAGTTTCCAATGATGCCAAACAGCAATAGCCCAATTGCATCTTCCGATGATGAAGCTGATGAAGAGAATGATGATGAAGAGGCTGATGAAGCTGAAGCTGAAGCTGAAGATGAGACCGTCATAGAAGTTTCTAATAGACCTCTCCTTTCAAAAAGAGATTCTCCACGATCTTCGTCCCCTTCTTCCTCTTCTTCCTCTTCTTCGTCCCCTTCTCCTTTTACCTCCTTGAAGCCGCGTGTCAGAGGTTTGGGTAAGAAAAGGAACCAAACTGTTGCTGAGATTCTTGAAAGCCAAGAGGAAAGTGCGGAGAAGAGATTCAGGGTATTTGTAGAACGGATCAAGGATTATCATGATTCAAGGATCGCCCTTCTTACAACTAAGTATGAGAATCACAGGAAGGACAGATTGAATAAGGAGCGAGAAGACAGAGAAATGGACCGTGCGCTTCTTTTGATCAAAACCAAGGCCGAAGTGTTTGGGTGGTCTGAGGAAAGGTTTGATGAGGAAATTGCAAAGCACATCAATAAAGAAACGTCAAACTGAGCTGGTTAGCAACACTTTTTTTTTATGTACAAGAGAATTAGGGTCAGAGTCAGGATTAGGGTCATGGTCAAAATAAGAATGAATGTGTATCATAAAGTAATTCTCTGATACAATATGTTCAGTTGAGTTTTTGAGACGTTTTAAAAAAGGGATTTTTTTTTGAACTTTTTCACCTGTCTACACCAAATATATATATATATCGCTTGTAATGTCTAGAACTGTCTGTGTAGTGTAGAGTGTCTACCAAGTCATAATGATTTCTGTAGAATGGTGAGACTATTTTCCGGTTCGGACCTGCATCGTCTGTCAATTGGAAAGAGTGATTGATGAAAAAGCCATCAAAATCTATTTAAAGAAAAGGATCGATTGAACTTGCTAGGAAAGAATCGTTATATATAAAAGAGTGGGAGAATAGCCAAGAAAATAAAATAAGCAGGGTCCCATTAGAATGAGAAAGCTCGATTGTCCACCCTTATTATTATTTTTAATTTTTTTTTGTGGTTTATTTCGGATCACTTTGTGCACCCCAAGTTTTTGCCTTTGATTATATATGGGATTTTGGTGTGCTACACTATAGTCAAAAAAAAAAAAAGACAAAATAGGTAACTTTTATAAGATTTTCATTTTTTTTGTTACAAGCTTATCAACCACAGCCAAGTTAACCTGGTGCTTTTTTTTTCTGGTATCTTTGTTTTACTTTATGAATCCTTTGGCCTACTTTAGAATAGTGGGTTTTAACAGAAAGAAGCGATTATTGCCTTAACCATCAATGCATACATAAACACCATTACACTTGTATACAATTGTCAATAAGAGTTTTAGACAGCAGTGTCCCCAACCATTCAATATACGCCTACAGATAATTACACCAATTAAACATTTACTTTTTATTTTTATTTTTTGGTTTAAGCTACACGATAATGTGTTTCCAATTTGGTACAAAAATAATTTGTTAATTATCTCTTTCTTCTTCTACTTCTTCTACTTCTTCTACTTCTTCTACTTCTATTTCTTCTTCTATTTATATATCTTTTTCCCGTGGCTTGTATCAATTACACGTACTATGTACAAGCCAAAGTCTAAACCAGATCTATATCTCACCGCATCAAGGCAAGGCAATATGTGGCAATAAATATTTGTCTTTTCTTTTGCTCTTCTTTGAAGTAAAAGATTGCATATTGGTGCCATTTTAATCAATTGAAGTGAATGATGACAGCAATCTTCACTTGCAAGATACTAGATATATTGTTAAATATATAAGTACAAAAAGTGAATTAATGAATGAATGAATGCTTGGATTGTGATATATATACAATTAACTCTAATTGCCGCCAAATTTAGCATGATAGGTTTAATCCAGTAATTCAATATATATATATATATACATACATATATTTTGACATTTGTCACAAAGAGCTTCTTGCCGTTTTCCGCTAGTTTCTTTCACTTTGTCTTCTTCTTTATTTCCCTCCATTTTTGAGATATGCGATCGACATATATCGTTTTTTTTTGTTTCTTTATTTTTAAACTTTTATTTGATTTCCTATTGACATATATAGAAATTTTCCTTGTCTCATAGATTATACTACTAGGCACATACCATTATGATTATGATTATGATTATTATTTAAATTGAATATATTAATATAATCAAAAGTAGTATACATATATATATATATATATATATATATAGTAATAACAACAATAATCAAATAAAAATATTGTCTATATACTCAAGAAAATCTATAATGTAAAAATGTAGTTAAAACGCAAAAGCCAAAAAATAATGATATAAAAAGAGCTATTTAAGCGTCAATTTCAAAATAGATGACATTTACATGGGTTCCAGTAATAGAATAAACCTCTCCTTAGTTAAGTATTTAAATATATATATATATATATATATATATATATATATTACCAAAAATATAAATAAAAAAAAAACCCTGTTTTTATTTATTTATTTAATTATATAATATTATTTTATATAGGATGGTTGATGCCTGGCATCTGTGTAATTTCTTATTCGAGATTGAGGTTACTTTATATATTTATATATAAGGAAATTGATGTGCCAAGATTTGATATCTGATTGGCTCACATTAATATGTATACAAATATAAGAGTTTAGCCAAGTGTATTTTTGTTTTATTTATTTATTTATTTATTTATTTAATATCTGTGTTCATTTATAAACTTTTTTTTTGTAAAAAATAAATAAAAAATAGTGTGGTTATCTAACATGTATTTTTATATTTTCAACAAATACGATTGAAGAAAGATGTGGTTGGTTCCTATGCTTCAACCGCAAGTATATCTATTAGATGTATATATATAACAGTAATGGCCTGGAACTTGAAGGAATTCCTCTTGATATTCTAAAGGGAGTGAAATGGGGGAGCGGTGGTTGCATTGCCACACTATCAAATGCCACATAAAGCACAAGTCTCCAACCAAGGAAGCCCAATTTGGGTATCCGATTCTTGAACGCTATTACAACTCATTTCTTTGTACCACTAAAATAGAGAGACAGACAGACAGAGGCAGAGAGATTGTTATTATTTTCTGTTGTTTTCACTTCTTCCTCTCATTTATTCTTTCACTCCTTCAAGTTTTTTTTTTATTAGTAAAAAAAAAAAAAAAGTAACGAAGAACAAAAAAGAAAAAAGCCACACCTAACGTTCCTTTTTTCTTTCTTTCTTTCTTTATTTCTTTATTTCTTTATTCCTTTCTTTCTTCCCGTTTGTTACCAAGACAACCCATTACACTCCCTTCCATTTCCCTTCCCTTCACTTCCATTTCCTTCCCTTCCCTTAACTCAAAACTTCATGCACCCTCCAAATATACCTAGCGTGCTCTTTACTCTCTCTAGTCTTGCTATTGTCCAAGCAACCCCTTTATGGGTATCTGACCAATCTCACCGAGAATGGCTAGACAAAAGAGCAGACCCTGCAGAAAGCTCGGATGTTACCAATGGTAAGATAAACTCAAACACAGTTATCTTTATATTCATTCATTCATTCATTCATTTAGAAACCAAACCCAATCAATCCAAGCCCGCCACATCTCACACAACCACTGCCAAGAACGAGGCAACCGACCATACTCCTACGCACACCCCTACGCACACCACCATCACCACCACAGTTATTAAAAAGACATCTCATGCTGAAACCCAGAAATCGCAACCGACTGTCGTAAGCTCACAATCGACCAAAAAAGCCAGCGCTAGCGCTACGACCAATGCCACCCATACCACCAAAGTATCTTCTGCCAAACCAAAATCATCGACTACTGCCAAAATCAGCGGATTTCCCCTGAATCCTGTCGTTGAACCTTCCACACCTTCGTCAACATCCAACAACAATAACAATTTGTCCAATTCAGCAGCCAATAGTAGTAATACCGCTGCTGCTGATAGTAATAGTGGTATTTCGTCTGGTGCGGTGGCTGGTATTGTCATAGGTGTTTTAGCGGCCGTCGCTGGTTTGGTGGCCCTGGTCATGGTCCGTAGAAAGAAGCAGCAAGCCCGGAGCCGCGCTTATACTTCCAAACCCGATCCTTTTACCATGGGTTTCGGGAGCCACAACCCTCCTCCTCTCCATGAATCCGTCTATTCTGTTAACCAGAAACCCATCACTCCTCCTACACCCTCGTACCCCATGGCCTCCGCCTCGATGGCTGCCGTCGCCCTTCCTGTTCAGAACGTCATGCCAGCCATTCACGCTTCTTATACTGCCGAATCTCTTCATACTCCTAGTCCCATCTCCGCTCTTCCCTCTTCGTTTGAAACGGATAGACCCACTAGTGGAATGTCGATGATCACCGCCAATACTGCCAATACCAATACCAATACCAATACCAATACCAACACTAATGTAACTGCAGGTTTAGGTTTAGGTTTAGGTGCAATGACCGCTGCGGGCAGTGCAGTAATGGCTTACTCGGATCTTAGCCCACCAACCTCACTTGGTATCTTTGCTGTCACAACCACATACACACCCACTCTTTCAGACGAAATCGACATTCAGCCTGGAGACCAGGTCGAGGTCTTGACCGAGTATGACGATGGTTGGTGCCAGGGTATCAATCTGTCTCGAGGAAATGCCAGAGGAGTGTTCCCTAAGCATTGTATTGATTATTCGCTCTTGCCGGGTAAAGAGCAAGACCATCATAGAAGCATGTTGGAACCCGAAATGTCGGAACCCGAGCGTTCCAAACGTGTTAGTTCGATGTACATGTCTTTCCAGGCACAGGACAAAATGAACGAATAATTATACATATAAATAAATAAATATATATATATATATATATATATATATATATATATATATATATATATATAATGTTGAATATTTCTTATCAAATCACATACTTCTTTAAAGTTTAAATGTATGTATGTATGTATGTAAGTATATATATATATAAAATAAGGTACTTGTGTATTTATAATTATATTTATATTTTATATTTATAAATATATGTATATCTTTAGCTTATTTACCTTTTATGTTCTTCTCAACATTCAGTACGTATATTTGATTTTATTCATTTATTTTCAAATAAAGAGCCAATGAGATATGCTATAGATTATGAATGTTGTGAATATAAAGGATATACAAAATGCGTGTAGAAAAATTCTGTAAGTAGGACAAGGTGTAACTTGGTTAGATCCTCTCAAAAAGGCAGATCAACCTGTCTTTCTTGTACTCTATACTCTTTTTGTTTTCATTGTTGCACATGTTGACCGAATTGCTTTTATTCTATATTCTATATTTTTGTTTTTTTTTTATCTTATTTGTGTGTGTGGCAAGACATGTTCCTAATTTTCTGATGTTTAACAAATATTTTCATGAATTGCCCGCTTTTATCATAGAGCGATTCACCAGATCAATTGAAAATAAAACAATAATATAAGATACTATAAATTAATAAAGAGTAATCACTAAGAATAAGAATATTGACCATAGAATTATATAGGAACAAATGCCTAGTCATATTATGACAGTCAAGTAGGAGATATTGCGTGCTCCCAAATGCACATATAAATGTATATTGCTTATCCAGAATTTGCTATACTTTTGGTTAGAGATAAACTGCTTTCGTGCGACCTTGAAGGAGATGAATAATGGCTGTCGAAACTTGGCTGTTTGTAATCGATCTCCAGATTATTGGCAGGTCGGTTGGCTACATAGTACCTGCTTTGGTAACCAACAATGTCTAGTGGAGTTTCGGTGGATTGTGCGTAGGGTGCCAAGTCAAACTGGGATTTCATGTCGTTCTCTGCTTGTTGCACAACAACGTTTTGCAGGTTCTTGGGGTCGATCTGCTGTGAACTCTCAGCTACGGTACGGTCAATCGGTTGATTGACTGACTGGTTGCTGTAGTTCTCACCAGGGCTGGTCAGACTACTAATTTTACTATCTTTAGGCTTTTTGGTGGTTGTACTAGAGGTTACCTTTACAAAAAAAATCAATTATACACACACAGATAAATACATACATATATTCATTAATTATTAATGAAATTATACTAGCAAAAATAATAAACTTTGTTATTTGTATATGTAATTGTACATTGTACACACACACACACATATATATATATATATATATTTATACTTATATTTATATTTACCCAGTGTACGGTAACAACATTGATAGTCACATCTACTGTACAACAGCTCAAGCAAAACAGCCCACGCTCACGGCCATGGAAAACAAGGAGAAGCACAAGATTAGCCAGGGAAGCAAACAAACACACTATGGACGCCACCATAGTACGTTCGGCTACTTCATGAAGACGGGACATTTTCCAGTCTATAGTCAACGTCTTGCTACTTTTCCACAATGGTTTTACAAACAAGATTGTCATATAAAAGTTAATAAGCTAAATCCCAACAAGAATTAATATATGTATATAAAAAAAAACAAAGCAAACAATTTTAATCCAATATTTCTTTCTTTTTAATTTATCTGCGCTTACAAAATCATAAAGCTACAGAAAAGAAAAAACCGGTTTGAGACAATTAGCTTTTTTTTTGCTTCCTTCTTATTTTCTGTATTCACAATTTCTTCTTCTTCTCCGAGATCCAAACCTTACCATCAATGGAACACTGGCATAGGTCTCTAGTCCAATAATACATTCTCCTGTATCTTTGAGTTCGGCAATGTGAAAAACAATCTACGTTAAAAAAAAAGTACAAATACAATAAAAGTGCAGATGTGTTAATGTGTGGATATTTAATAAATAAATATATAAACGAGTGTTTGTTTGTTAGTGGAATATTGTTAGGCTTACCATAAGTGAAAAAATACCAGCATAAGGAGTTAAGAGTAAGCAGTGGAACCTATAGATTGGTGTTCTCCACCTCGACTGCCGTACAGAAGAAACCACCCACACCTTTTCGATTAACCTTAAAAAAACACACACATAAAATCCAACCACACAATAAAGGGATGTTAGCATATGTAGTACATGTGCAAAGATAATATGGATTTTTTTTTAACTCTATACTTGCCACCAATAAGTAGTTAGTTTTGTAGCAGAATAAAATATATCGCAAGCCATGATTGATAGGTAACAGGAAATGTAATTTCCTATAGACACACATAAATTATACACAATTATACACAATTATACATAATATTATTATTTTTTACCATTGTTGGTAGAAGTAAATATCATGCTTGACGTGGTAAATGACCAGGAGAATAGATAGAGAGCAAGGACCAGCCACCTTGATAACGACAGATATTTATATTGGACATTGTAAGACTTGATTCCAAACAGGAGGGACAATATGCTTATCGAACACATTGATATGATCTGAGACGCAATCTCGCTACCGTCAGGTTGAGGCGTCTGTATAAAATATGGAGATTCCATTTCTTCTTCTGTATACATTTACAGCCAAAGATAAGAGTATTTTCCTTAAATATATTCTCTGTGTATTATTTGGATATCAAATTATTAGTATCTCTTGAAGACAAGAGGAAGAGAGAAAGAGAGAGAAAAGCAATTATGAAAATATAACTCGAGCTTTCCTTCTTTTCTTCTTCTGCTTAAAATAATATCTATATTTATAAGTATGAAGCACAATGCCATTTAATTATTTTTTTTTGTATATATACATTTTACCCCTTAAAAATCATACGTGACTTCTAGGATGCTTTCTTGACAGTGTTCTAGGTTGATTTCTTTAAAAGGAATGGTAATACAGACAAGTGCTAATTCATATATTCCCAAAAAAAAAAAGAAAAAGAAGGGGTGGGTGGAAAGAGAGGAGGGAAGGTATCGTTAAATTTAGTGCCCTAAATACAACCGTTAGTAAAGCATCCCAAAGCTTGCATGCAGCCCTCTTTAGTTACCATGAACACCCCAAATTTCATCTGTACATTTATTTTATATATAGATATATTACATAGTACCCTTAGTTATCACCATTGCCGTTAAAGATCAAGGTATAGGTATGCAAGTCAATTATGGATTTTAAATGAACACTCACTGAGCTTGTGAGCTTGTGTGTTACAAAATTTAATTATAAGCCACCATTTACAGGCATCAATCTAAAATCGAAACAATTACCGAGCAGGAGTATAACACTGAAATGGACATAAGAAAATGCACAAGCTATTAAAGATATCAAATGGATCTATTAATTAAAACTGTATATTTGTCACTTTAGATAAAATATACATTACAATAATTACACCCTGTGCTATGCATAATAGTAATAAAAAAAGAAGAAGAAGAGAAAAATCCTAAATATATATATGTTTGACAGCCGTCAACTATCAATAAAAATTTAGTGTATCTGTAGTCATTTTACACACGCATAAATTATGTACATACACTGCTTAAAGAGAGAGAGAGAAATGTAACCTAATCCTTGATTTTTAAAGACGAACAAATGTGCTTTATTTGAATTGAGATAATGTTATCTTTCTACCGTACACAGGTAGGTGCATAGTTTATTGATAGTGTATTTAAAGAGTAAATACAATTATTAGTAGTTTTTTGTAAGCAATATACTTTATTAAAACATTTTGACAAGAAATTTACAAATAATTAATATAATAATAAAAAGAAGATCAAACTGCTTGGCTTTTGAAAAAGGCAACATTGCAGACCTAAATTCGAAATAAATTTAATAAGCTTTGAAACAACTTACTCTTGATAATATATTACTTGTCCCGAAAACCCTATAATTAACTTGAAATTCCAAACAGAAAAAAAAATATAAGATATCACAATTGTGCATCTAAAATGTATAATATATTAATTCCAAAAAAAAACAAACTTTACATTAATATCAATTAACCAAGTAAGAGCTCCCCTCTTTTGTTTCCAAAGTTCTAGTATAATAACATAGTTGATTTAGTTGGAATATATAGCATAATATACTATTATTTTCCAGTTATCTAGATGTATATTACTGTCATTGAGACTATAGAGCCTTTATCAAAAAAACAGAAATGACTATATTAAATAGACTGTATACTGATTATAGAAGTAAAGAAATGTATATTTAATATTATGTATAATCAATTCAAACAATTTACTGAAATCTAAAGGCAAGCCCTCTATCATATATCATAAAAGAAATCAATACACACCAATCTTTTACTTCATCTTCTAAAATAGTAATGTGAATATTTGGATAGCAGTATGTATACTAAAATAAAGTCATTAATTACATATATCACACAAATAAATTCAGATCATAAATAGATAAAGCTACCAAAGAAGATAGCATACCTTTAAGTACTTTGAATAATTCAATACGTATATTAGCAATTCTTTATATACATACATATATACATATAGTAGAGTATTAAAGGCCAGGAATATTAAAAGCGGTAGATATATATCTCAAGTACAATTAAAATTCATTATACAAAGAGATGTAAACGCAAAGAAACTTTCAAAAAGGCACTACATTATGTGAATTAAGTATGATTTCCTTATATATGATGTGCTCTTAGACACACCCTTAGATGTTGTGAGTATCTAATATATATATATATGTAGTCCAAGTCACATAGGATATACTTTGAATATTTCTATGAAGCCACTAGGATTAACCTAAGCCAAAGTGCCAATTTTATACACAAAGATGTTTATGGCTTGGATAGTGTGTAGGCTATACAAATGATATTTTGGTATTCTTATATCAAGTGAATTATATCATTGTATTGTTTTTCTTTTCTTTTGGGTACTTATTTATTATTATAATATTATCTTTCAATCTATCTGTACACAAAAATTATGAGATTAATATGACTTGACTTTAATTATGCTGTTAATATCACTGAGCTTTATCTTAAGATATACTATTATTTATTGTGCATTTGAATGAATATGGTTAGCAGTGAAAGATTACGGCGGAAATAGTGCTATACTAATTTATTGCAATAGAAGAAAATTATATTATCTTTTTCTTTACAGCAATAACAATCTTACATTGTATAGATAAGAGAAACTTGCTGCATTAATATTGTTTCCAACTAAATGATAAATAATATTTTACTAATTTCTTTTTCAAAGTAGTATTTAAATTATACATATAAATGAATTAAGAGTCATTCTATAGTGCTTCCGATAATATGTGTTTAGCATAGACATTAAAGATAACAGTTACTACAATTAAAAACATTCAAGATAATCAAATAATTGTAGAATTATCAAACAATATTATTGTTCGTATTATACGGTCGAGCTGATATTGTATAAAAGACAGTAAGAAAGCAACAATGAAGCTGCTTGTGTATAATATTAAACCAGTAAATTTTGCGTGAAGTTTGAGACAAAAGTCCAGGAATAATATTAGTGAAATCAAGTACTTTTTCTCTTTATTTATTACTGATAGCATGTCAGTATTTAACTAATGAAGATCTTTATGAACATAGCTCATCTTACATTTATCATTTCTCAGGCCGATCAGAGTACACTAGTTGATACAAACGTGTATCACTCCATCTTCAAGATCTTCCAATACCCCCAACATTTTTCTACTAATAGTCATACAAATCATGTAGACAATTTTTCTGTTCTTTAGTTTTAATATCATTTATAATTCATTCCAACAACATTTTTGCTAAGAAATACACGGTCTCTTCAAAAATGAAGGATCTACTCTCTTAAAAAATTGGTCGATCTAATCATACTATCACTAACTTTAAGTGATAGGCACAAAATATTTTTCTTTTGCTATAACATTTTGCAAATTGGCTGTCTATATAAATCACTGGTTTTCTGCTTGTTTTCCTTGAGTTCATATATTTGATTACATTATATAAACAGAGCACAGATCAGCTTTAAGTAATAAAAGAAAAAAACCTCTATTTCTAGATATTGATTAACTATTTGGCTATAATTTTTTTTTTTACTTATTTGCTTCAACATTCTCTTTCATTTTCTAGTACTTTTTAAAAGAAAAATTCCACTGCTTTAATGCACCGACACATTTTTAGGCGATATTTAATTCAATTTTTTTTTGGTCTTAAATTAATGTTAGCTGTTAAAATTAAATTACTACTCTTTACTACATACATATCATTACGGAAAGAAGTGAAAATTGAAAGAAATACAAAGAAAAACTCCTAGCTACATTCTTTGCTCTATGATTGAATGAGTAATGTAGTAGCTGTCACAAAGAAACAGCAGTACCATCAACAAGGAATGAGATAGACAAATTGTCTATAAAAGAAGCATCAACCTTTCAATTTTTTCATTTTTTTCCATATACCTCTCTTCCCGCGATTTCTCATGATTTCCTATCCCATCCAACTTGCCTTGCAGACTTTATGTCTTGCCTCAGCCTACTTTTGCGCACTGCTTTTTGCAGCTATATCCTCTATCTCAGTCCCCTCTGTGTTTAACATGGGCTTATTCTCAAACAGGATGAAAGTAATCCACGAAGGTAAGACAGCTATTGAGCACTGTAACATCAACACAGATACTAACATTGACCATATGTCAGACGATGAAGGTTGCTTGCAGTCTTTCCGTACTTCGTCGGAGATATTTTCTTCTGGTTCCTGCCGTGGTGGCTCCCTTGGAGACGCCTTGAGGCCTATATCTTGTTTTGGTGTCTCTTCGGAGATTAATGGTGCCGGTGATGTCGAAGGTCTTTCTAGTTCTACTTCCGTGAATCAACAGAACAGCATCTGCCATCGGATGAACTCAACAGTTTGTGAAGATGACAAGCGTTCCCACATGGAACAAGTGGCGTACATTCCAGTGCGTCATGAGAACCAGGGACTCAAACGCTTGGTCCGAACCAGACTCCCATATTATGGGGAGGAACTGGAGGAGCAGATGTTTGAGGTGCTAGTTCCAAAGGCGAGCCCTTCTAAGCTCATTGGATCTACTCCAGAGCCGTTGAAAGACGGTATCCAGGACGAACCACATAGCATTTGCTATGATAAAGTCCATACCAGTGTTTCTGTAACTGTGTGTTCCCTTGCTTTGCCTTGTTCCCCTGAGCAAGGATCATTTACTGAACAGAAACCAAGCTTTTCTTTGGTTGGTGAGCTTCCTTCCTCTGGCCAGGAGATGATCCTCATAGAAATTTCCAATCTGGTATCTCTCTTTGGCTCTATGTCAATCGAGGATACTAGTGAAGACCTTCGGGCTGGCCAGAATCTCTCCGTGTACACTGCCCAACAAGTGGGTGCGGCTGGAGTAGAGATGGCTTCGGCTATGGAGGACTGCTGGTACGGAGAAAACACTGTCTGGTCGGAGGAGGTTCCTCAGTGTCCTGCGTTGGTCGGAGGTCTTTTTGCCTTCGGGCAACAAGAAAGCATGGACTTTGTGTCCACCTTTGACGCTCCTTTGGAGCAGATGCTGACGGATGCAGATGAGGAAGATACCAACTGTGCAATGAGTATAATCTCTGAGCCAGAATCTTCCGAAATGCTTGATGTCGAGTATGCCGGTGTCGTTGTTGCAGGCGTCTCCACAGCCTGCTGGTACAACATAAATGACGAACTAGCGATGGTTCCAGAAGACTTGTATGGCGACAGTCTGATGGACCTCGCCGTCGAGGTAGTTCCAGGGATCAAGGGCAACCTTGATCACTACCAAGATGATTGCCTCATGTACTGGGATGAGAGCTTAGTCTCAAAAGCCTCTCCCATCATGGCGGCTACCATGTTCTCTGTTTCTGGTGCTACCACCATGTTTCCCGCTTCTGGTGCTGCCACCAGACTTTCTGTCTCTGGTGCGGCTACCATGTTTCCGGTTTCTGGTGCTACAACCATGTTTCCTGCTTCTGGTGTGGCTTGCCCATTCCCACTTGAACAGGTAAACATTACCAACAAAGGCGCGACTTGTGTCCCACAGCAAGTTGCAGAAGATCTCGTGGGGAATCCAGAGGAGGGTCCAAGACTACCATCTTCCCCTCTTCTCCCCGGATCTGATTCTGGTGCTGGCCTTCCCGGCCAATCTGGCATGTTGTTGCCAGAGAATAAGACACCAGAGCCTACCACAATTCCTGGTGTTGTGGCGTGGCTGACTACCGCTCCCGAGAGTCCAGAAGAAGTCCTAGAAGGTGAAGAAGATGATGATGATGACGAAGAGGACTCGGATAAGGGACACGAAGATGACGACGAGGGCGTCACCCTGCAAGACTCAGTGTTGGCAGATCTCCTTGCTGAGTTAGAAGAGAGTGACTTTGACGATGAAGCATGAGATGCCAGGGTCAGCAGGCGGTAGTCAGATTCCCCTTTACGTTCGGTTCCAATTGCTCGCATATTCAAAGGTCTGGCTAATCATTCTTTTTCAAGTTTGACGCCATGGTCCGCTTGCTTGTTTGGTTCCGAGTCCAAAGTCTTTGGATAGTAGAGGGAAGGTAGACGTGGAGTTGTCTACACCGATGTATGCAGAGCAGGTGTAGGCTGAGTTGTGGCTCGTTGCACTTGCTGTTAATCACCGTCTGCATATATTCGAAAGTGGTGGTAGTGACCCTCTGGTTCTCAAAAAGGTAAAATTTTGACTTATATTTTTACTACTATATTTATTATTTATACATATTGAAAATTTATTAACTCTAATTTATTTATTTAATTATTTATTTATTTTTAAAAAAAATAGTTTCGGGTTGGTAGAAATCTTTTTGAGTTCCACCCCCCAAGGCTATAATCGAGTTCTTGGGTTCTTGGTTTTCCCTATTTTGTTTGGACGTTCTTGGTCCCTTTTGTTTCGTTGTCTAGACTTTGGCTGTCTGTGTTTCTGGATGTTATTTTCAGGCAATCGTCATCCATGTATCTGGACTTTGGCCGTCTGTGTTTCTGATTGTTTATTTCCAGCATTTGACTGCCACGTATCTGGACTTTGTTTGCATGTATTTCTGGTGCTGCTTGCAGGTCTTTGGCTGCTGTGAGACTTGCTTTTTTTGCCTGTTTCTCTGAATTGTTGTTTGCAAGCATGCGATTGTTGCGTAACTGGACTTTATTCGTCTATTGGTCTGGTCGCTACCTACAGGCATTTGACTGTTGCGTGTATCTGGGTTTTGTCTCCCTTTGTTTCTGGTTGCTATTCGTAGGCGTTTGCATACGTCTCTGATGTTGCTTGCAGGCCTTTGACTGCTGTGAAACTTGGTTTTTTTCTGCGTTTCTAATTTTTGCTCGCATGTGTTCGACTACCATATACCTGGACTTTATCTGTCTTTTGGTCTAGCTGTTGTTTTCAAGCATTTGACTGTTGCATGTATCGGGGGTTTGCCTCCCTTTGTCACTTGCTGCTATTCACAGGCGTTTGACTATCTCGTATCCAAACTTTGTTTGCATATGTTTCTGGTGCTGCTTGCAGGCGTTTGATTTTTGTGAAACTTAGTTTTATTTTCCTGTGTTTCTGATTGTTGTTCGCAAGCACTTGACTCCTGAGTACTTGGAGTTTATTTGTCTGTTGGTCTGGTTGTTGCTCTCAGGAATTTGACTGTCGCATGTATCTGCTTTTGTCTCTCTTTGTTTTTGATTGCTGTCCGCAGGCGTTTGACTATTGGGTCAATAGATTTCCCTGTCTGGGTTTCCTGCTTTTGTTCTCAAGCGCATGAGTGTCGTATTGCTTCAATATCTCTGTTTATGGATTGTGCTATGTAATTCGTTTGGGCTACCATGAACCTGGTTTTTGATCTTGAAAATGGATACCAAAATTTTAAGTTATAAAACGTGGACGTTTGGTTTTGTGGCAGCTATAAATCGTATTTGGTCAACCTTTGTGGCCCTTGGCGTTCTAGAAAAACATTATTCAAGTTTTTGTGTGTCTCTGGTTCCGTCTAGTGGATTCTGCAGAGTCGATAGATGTATTAACTCAAGTCTAGGGGCAATCTTATTGACTTTCAAATGGATTCCACAGTAAACAATAGGCAGTCCTTAAAAATATACAGCTGGCGGGTCTATAATATCTGCTATGATACTTTCAAGCCGATTATCAACAAGAGATACAATCAATAAGCCAAGCGTATGATGCAGAAAAGTATCTCAAATTTACAGCACATACCAATCACAAATCTAAGAAACCACGTTTATTTGATATGACTACTACTCAAGATGGGCTTCAGGAAACAAGCGCTTGGCTTTTTTCAATACTATTAAGGTTACAATATATAGTAGACACTATGCAAGTAGAGTATCTACTACCAAGTGGATAGGATATCGAGAATTTCATCGACAGCTATGAGTATTTAATACAGCCATGGGTTGAACACAAGCCAGCATATTATGAGTTGTCCTCAAATTTGGCCGATATATGGAATCAAGATTCGATTAATTGGGTCAACCGGGTCATGTTCGGAGCTGTCAAGAAGAGTAGGCTAAAGCAAGCAATATCAACAATGTCTGTATACCAAGGACAAACAACCTACATCTAGGGTCCAAATACGTGCGCAAGTGATTGCCAATGAAAAGCAAGATTCAATCAAAGGTCATATCAAGAGATCAATTTTAGCAAACTATCAAGTCAAAGTTTGATGAGGACAGAATCAGTCAAGCAGGAAGCCAATATCAGACTGGTTCTAAAACGCAAAAAGAAAAAGTGGATGTTTATATATATATATATATATATGTAAAGGAAAAAATTAGAAAAAAAAAGAACAAAAAAAAAAGAACAAAAAAAAAAGACCAAAAAAAAAGAACAAAAAAAAAAAGAACAAAAAAAAAGAGCAAAAAAAAAAGAACAAAAAAAAAAGAAAAAAAAACGGACAAAAAAAAAGAACAAAAAAAGAAAAAAAAAAGAACAAAAAAAGAAATTATCAAAGGTGGAATGAGAGGACAGTAAAAAAAATATGCAAAGTCTCCTGATGCTCACCAATACAATCAACCAAGAAAATCAAGCATTTTGCACGGTGTTCAAGCTACTTGGTGGCCGGTCTCTGACTCACATTAAGAAAATTATATACCCCCGTTCCTACAAAAAATCATGGAAATTCAATCCAGTAGTAAATCTTTCCCACGAGAAAATTGTGTGTAGCACTATATCCCGCCTCAAGTATTCAAGTGATCAAGTCAATTGTATCAAGCTATCAAAAATGCACCATCAAATTATACAACCCAGTAGCTTACCATTTCATGGGTCGGCCAAAAGCACTTCAAGCATCTCCACTGGGTCAACAATTTCTTCAAATATGAATTTTATACGTTGGTCAAAGGCCGTAGTTTCATACATAAAAAAAAAGGTTTTGGCGATCCCCGAATGGATTTTGCAGACAATTCTGTGGCACCAGTATATCTATTACAGGCCTCCATCAGCAAGCAAGAAAATATTTCGGAAGGAACTACGGAAACACAATAGCAACAATATAGCTATTCAAAGGAATCCTGCTCTTGGTGTTTTCTCTGAAAAACAACACAAAACAAAACTGGACCCATTTCAGTTGGGCGTCACAAAAATATTACGCTGTTAATTAGAGTATCAAATATCTTAGAACTAATAATATATATATTTCGCAGTTGTATAGTATAGGGTCCAGTGCCTTGTTCAAGTCCAGGAAGGGGGGGTCCATTGTCCAGTCCAATATCCATTCCAATATTTTGTAAAAGAAAAAAAAGAAAAAAAAAAGAAAAAAAAAAGAAAAAAAAAGAAAAAAAAAATATCAAAAACACAAAGCAAAAACAATGTCAAAAACAAAAACAAAAACAATGCATTCGTTAACGAAGCGTCTCTGTATCCACTCAAACTGGAGGGTACTGCTTTCCAAAATCTTTGTTGTCTCAAATCACAATGTGTCCTTTACAAAGTTTCTCTTGGGTCAAGACTGAAGGTGTCCTTTTAAAAAGTCTCTCTCGACTTAAATCGGAATATGTTCTTTCCAAAATATCTCTCCACTCAAGTCAAAAGGCGCTCTTTCCAAAGTCTCTCTTCACTCAAATCTGGAGGTGTTCTTTCACAAACTCTCTCTTTACTAAAGTCTGAAGGCGCTTTTTCCAAAGTCTCTCTTCATTCAAGACTGAAGGTGTCCTTTCACAAACTCTCTCTTAGCTCAAATCTGAAGTTGGTCTTTAACAAATTCTTTCAATCCAAATCGGAAGGTGTCCCTTTACCAAGCATCCCTCCGCTCAAATCTAAAGGCGTTTTTTTACAAACTCTCTCTCTCAACTCAAATCGGAAGGTTCTCTTTCACAAAGTCCCTTTCTCTCTCTTCATTCAAACGTGAATGTGTCCTTTAGCAAAGTCTCTTTTGGCTCAAATCTGTTGATGTCTTTACCAATTCTCAACTCAAATCAGAAGGTTCTCTTTCACAAAACCTTTCTCAGCTTAAATCGGAAGGTGTTCTTTTACCAAGTAACTCTCCACTCAAGTTATATGGCACTCTTTACAAAGGCTCTCCTGTCACATATCTTCAGGTGTCCTTTTACAAGATCTTTCTAATCAAAGCGGAAGATGTCATTTTACAAAATCTATCTCGGCTAAAAAAACAAGGCGTTTTCTAATAAAGCCTCTCTAGGTTCATATCAGAAAGTGGTTTTTTTCCAAAGTCTCTCTTCACCAAATCTGAAGATTACTTTTCTCAAACTCTCTCTCAAATCAAATCTAAAGACGTCCTTTAACAAAGTCACTCTCAGTATCTATGACCATGAACATTATACAAATCATATCAAGTCAATACAAATCAACCCAAATCAATTGAAGACAAGACATATCAAATCAAGTCTAGTCAAGTCAGACCAAGACATATCAAGACACATCATGTCTATTAAAAAAATATCAAAACAGATTATACTATACAATTGAATAGAATAGAATATTTCATCAAATCAAATGAAGAAAAGCAAATCATAAAAAATATAAAAAAAAAGCAAAAAAAAAAACAAAAAAAATCAAAAAAAAAATTAAAAAATCAAATCAAAAAACAAGAAAATCAAAAATCAAAAAAGAATCAATGGAATGGACTGGCGTTGGACCCCCTCTCCTCTGGATCTGGACAAGGCACGAAGAAGAAATGTAATAGCTAGTAAAATATGGTGCTGACCTGCGACAGCATACACTGGGATTTGGACCATCCCAGCTAATATATTTATATTTAGAGTAGATCAAATTTTCAAATTATTGATTGTATTTTTGTGAATAAATTATCAAGTTCTTTGATATCCAAGCTAAACTACTTTACTTCTAATTCAATTACATAGTTGATGTCAATAAAAATGTATTTTATATATTGATTTTATAATAATAGAAATTAATTTTGTACTCTGTATTCATTAAATACATCTTTGCTATATTTTAACTAATTTCTTGGATCTTTACTTATAACCAGCATTCATATATTGTTTTAAATACACACGCACACACATAAGAGATGTCTATTCTCTCATTGATCTAAAGCCGTTTTCTTTTTTTCAAATTGAAAGTATCAATCAAATTAACCATTTCTACATATAATAATTTATTTTGAGCTTTATCAGGCTTGTCTATATAAAAGTAATAAAATTAAATTGTCTGAAATAATTGGTTATCTACTTCAACATATACTATGAGATGTGAATGATATATTAGAACTGCAAACTTATGGCTAAAGATATATAGTGTCTATTGGTAAGTACTACTTTTCAAAATAATTTTCAAGTGCTAAGCTTTACGCTCATACAAGATAATCTTCGCAAATCAGCCAAAGAATATTATCAATAGAAAATGGTAAAAAAAAAAATTCACTGTCGTTACCTATTATAATTGTTGTATTTGTTATATAATGCTATAATAAACCCTTTAAAATAAAAATATGACTAGTATTTGTATACTTATTAATGTAAGCATTACAGAGATTGTATTCATTCAATCCACCGAGTATTTCCCAAGGATATATATATTGAATAAGATATAAAATTAGCATTATTTTATCAAACACTACTTTTAATTCTTTGAATAGGGTAAAGTATTGCTGCACTAAAACTTAAACCCTATTTTTTAGATATCTACCTTCTGTAGCCTATAAAGAAATTCGATACGTCTTACGTTTAACAAAAAAAAATGTTAGTTATATAGGCATGCCTACGAATTGAGGTAGCTCAATACTTTATATTTTGTCTTTAGTAGCCAAAACAGAGATATTAAGCTCAATGAAACCACTTATAATAAATACAATACAGATTTCATATTGTATACATGTATGAGAATAAAATATAAAAAGTGGAAATCCTTATTATTTTATTAAAGTTCAAAGAATCTATTCTGTTCTATGTTTCAGTATGTATATTACAAAGTCACAAAAAGAAGTATTAACTTTATTTATTTTCGATATTACATTGATTAATATATATTTATATACTATTCAAAATGAGTAAATTTATATAAAACAAGGCAAGATGGTCTTAGGCACACAAATTTTTAGCGGTATACCACATGCATTTTGCGGTTGGTTTTTCTACTGGACGATACATGTGAAACTTCAAACGCCAATCACCAGGGGCATACGGAGCTGCCTGTGTCAAGTTTACCAAGAGTCCAAGAAAACATAGAGTAGAGAAGATTTGAACTATAGGAGAGCGCATGATGTAAAGTTTAAGAATGAATTGATGTTTTTGATTAATATGAATTGAATGATGTTTTTGATTAATATGAATTGAATGATATTTTGGATCTTTTTCTTACATTATATATACTTTTTTTGAAATGGCTTGGTGAATACATATGGCTGAGAAATATAACTGTTTCTGAATAATTGCTCAAGCTATTTGCTTTTGGTATAGAAAATGTGTTTTCCTAAGCCTTTTTACAAGCTCTCACAATAGTCAGGTTTGTATAAGCCCAGCCCATATTGGTATATTGTACAAGACTTACACAAACCACTTATTCAGCTTTCATCCCAAAGAAACAACAACAAAGTAAAATTTTTATTTTTGTATGTAATATACAATTATATATCTACAGAAGTATATATTGCCCAATTCATTAATTACATATTGAAAAGAAGCTATATTTTCTGTTTGTTGTTTAATTGAATCATTCTACTCTTATTTTTATCTTTATTTATTCCCAGTAGCTTATTTCTTTCATAAATCGAAATACATATGCTTCTCAGCTAAAATCTGTAATTTTCTAGTGCAATATAACTATCACTTTATGCTGAATTTCTGAGTATTCTTGTATAGCAAAATGGCTTTACAGAAACCTTTATATTAAAATGATTACATAAATAAATAAAAAATAAATGAATAGTTATATGATTTTGAATATCCCGCTATTATAATTATATTAAGCTTTGATTATATATAGTTTTAGTTAAAAAAGATTCAAACACTTAACTATAATTAATTAATAAAAAATATTTAAATATATATATATATGTTTTATATGTAAAAAGTACAAAAGTACTGCTATATATAAATATTTGATATATGTATATAATATTCTTGCTTTAAAACTACAAACCTTTACGCACAGAAATAACTGCAAAAAGGTAGAGATTTTATCTATCTTAATATATATATAAAAACTGATTTTTTTTAGATCCTAAAATATATTTTCAAAACTTGGCATCACATCTTTACTACTGGTCAGTACTTTATAGTCTCATATGGCTAGAATTTTTTTTTACTTTATGTTTTCTTTTTGAACTATTTAAACTTAAGAAAAAAATGTTTCAAAGCAGATTTTCTTTGAATTAATATATATCCATGGCATAAAGAGTCACTTTTAACGTAATGCTTTGTCTCAAACAGCATAACAGTACTGATCATAGACATTAAAGAAAACACTTGATACACTTTCAGACATTCAAAGTAGTCAAGTTTGTGTAGAATCATCAAGCAATATGATTTCTAATATAGTATTCTCACATTGGTTTTTTCATATTAAAAAAGTTCATATTATAAGATCAAGCTAATCTTGTATTAAAGACAGTAAGAAAACAATAACAAAGCTGCTTGTGTATAATATTATAACCAGCAAATTTTGCGTGGAGTTTGAGACAAAAGCCCAAAAATAATATTAGTGGAATCAAGTGCTTTTTCTTTTTACTTATTACTGATAACAAGTCAATATTTAACTAATGACGATCTTTATTAATGTAGCTCATCTTAAATTTATCATTTCTCAGGCCGATCAGAGTACACTAGTTGATACAGACGTGTATCACTCCATCTTCAAGATCTTCCAATACCCCAAGTATTTTCCTACTGATGGTCATACAAATTATGTAGACCATTTTTCTGTTCTTTAGTTTTAATATCATTTATAATTTATTCCAATGACATTTTTGCTAAGAAATATACGGTCTCTTCAAAAATGAAGGATCTACTCTCTTAAAAAATTGGCCAATCTAATCATACTATTACTAACTTTAAGTGATAGGCACAAAATATTTTTCTTTCACTATAACATTTTGTAAATTGGCTGTCTATATAAATCACTGGTTTGCTGCTTGTTTTCCTTAAGTCCATACATTTGATTACATTATATAAACAGAGCACAGGTCAGCTTTAAGTAATAAAAGAGAAAAATCCTTATTTCTAAACTTTGTTTATACCATTTAACTATAAAAATCTCTCTTGTTTTTTACTTTTTACTTATTTGCTTTAAAAATGTTCTTTTATCATTTAGTACTTTTTAAAAGAAAACATTCCTGTTTTAATATATTGCTGCATTTTTAGATGATTTTTTTTGTCTTAAATTATTGATAACCATTAGAATTAAATTATTACTTTTTACTACATGAAGATCATTACTAAAAGAAGTAAAAATTGAAATAAATACAATAAAATATCTTAGTTTCATTTATTTTTTGTTTTATACTTAAAAGAATGATGTAGTACCTGTCACAAAAAAAAACAGCAACAGCAAAGAAAAAAATCAGACAAATTATCTATAAAAGAAACATCAACCTTTCAATTTTTTCACTTTTTTTCATATACCTTTCTTCCCTCTATTTTTCATATTATTTTCTACTATCGCACACTCGCCTTGCAAATCTTGCACCTCATCTCAGGTTTTTTTTGTATACTGCTTTTTACACGTATATCTACTTTCTTACTACACTCTGTGTTTTTCATAGGCAAATCTTTCTGCAGAATACAAATATCCACAAAGGTAAGCTATCTATTACTCATCGTCAAAACCGACATAAATACTAATATTAGTTATATGTTAGATAGTAAAGGTTGCTTGCAGTTTTGTGTACTCCATCGGAAATATTTTTCTAACTTCTTATGCAGAAGCTCTCATAGGATATATCTGGGCTCTATATCTTGTCCGTATGGTTATTCAAAAAAAAAGTATAAGTAATGTCAAAATTCTTATATATTTTAATGCAACAAACTAAAAAAACAGCGTATTTAATCAGATAAACTCTATCATTTATGAAGATGACAAACATTTTCAGATTGAACAAATGACATTTACTCAAGTACATCATAAGAGCCAAGGGTCCAAACATTTGGTCTAATTCAGTCTTCTTCATTATAAAAAAAAGCTTAAGAAGCTGATGATTGAAGAGCAAGTCTCACAGAAAAACTATTTCCAATCTATTATATAAACTTTATGACAGATAAAAGACAATGTCTAGAGCAAACCTTGTAAAGCTTTTTATGACATGGTCTATTTCACTGCTCCTCCAACTGGATGTTCCCTTGCTTTATGTTTCTCCTCTGAACAGGCCGCATTCAATGAATACAGACCAAAAAAATCATTTGCTGGTCTTTTTTGTCTTAAATCTGCATATAATTTTCAAAAAAATTTCCGATCTAGTTTCTTTGGAATTTAAGACAGCATAAATTCCAATGAAGATCAGCGGAATGTTGAAAATACTACGAGTGCTGCGCATCAATTGTGACTTAATGAAATAATACTGACTACCACCATAGTTACCAATTGATATAACAGAAAAACAGTCTGGTCTACAAAGTTTCCTTTGTCATCCGTATTAGTTAAGGATGTATTAGCCATAAGATAAAAACAATCACATACTTTGTGTCCGCATTTGATGTTTTTTTCAGAGCAGATTAATGAGATGTCAGATGCCAAATGTAAACATTCTCAAGTACAGACTCCTATAAAATACTTGTCAAAAGTATGAAAGTTCCGTTGAAGAAACTTATTATATGATCTATCATCATTACTTATTTTTGTTTTTCTACTTATTTTAAAGATTTTTATACAGCTTAGATTATCTGCTTCATACACATACGTCTGTTTTATTCACTGCTTCTATAAAATTTTTGTGAGTCATAAGTTTATGTTTTATCAGTATACATATTGAACTATTATTCATATAGGTATTTAATTTCTGAAATACATCTATTTAAAATCTGTGTGTCTGGCTGTTGTACACAGATGCAATTATTCTCTATGAAATCCGTCTTTCCAATCTGTGTGTCTGGCTGTTGTGCACAGATGCCATTATTCTCTATGAAATCCGTCTTTCCAATCTGTGTGTCTGGTTGTTGTGCACAGATGCATTTATTGTCTATGAAATCCGTCTTTCCAATCTGTGTGTCTGGCTGTTGTGCACAGATGCATTTATTCTCTTGAAATCCGTCTATCCAATCTGTGTGTCTGGTTGTTGTGCACAGATGCATTTATTGTCTATGAAATCCGTCTTTCCAATCTGTGTGTCTGGCTGTTGTTCACAGATGCATTTATTGTCTATGAAATCCGTCTTTCCAATCTGTGTGTCTGGCTGTTGTGCACAGATGCATTTATTCTCTATGAAATCCGTCTTTCCAATCTGTGTGTCTGGCTGTTGTTCACAGATGCAATTTTTTTCTTGAAATCCGTCTTTCCAATCTGTGTGTCTGGTTGTTGTGCACAGATGCATTTATTCTCTATGAAATCCGTCTTTCCAATCTGTGTGTCTGGCTGTTGTTCACAGATGTATTTATTGTCTATGAAATCCGTCTTTCCAATCTGTGTGTCTGGTTGTTGTTCACAGATGCATTTATTCTCTATGAAATCCGTCTTTCCAATCTGTGTGTCTGGTTGTTGTGCACAGATGCATTTATTGTCTATGAAATCCCTCTATCCAATCTGTGTGTCTCGTTGTTGTGCACAGATGCATTTATTCTCTATGAAATCCGTCTTTCCAATCTGTGTGTCTGGTTGTTGTGCACAGATGCATTTATTCTCTATGAAATCCGTCTTTCCAATCTGTGTGTCTGGTTGTTGTACACTATTGTGTTTATTCTTGGAAGCCTTCTTTTTCCTGTCTCTGTATCTTGTTGTTGGCTCTTTATTGTTATCTCTCTTGCATCCGTATTTGGTTTTTTGTCGCGAGGCAGTCGCTGTTAAGCCTTCCATTTTCGAATATCTTGAAGTTTTTACTTATCTTTCTGCTGTCTACTTGTATATCGTTGAATATGTGTTTCTTAATATCGATGCGTGCCTTTCTTTTTCTGTTGATATTCGGCTGCTTCTGGAATTTCTTTAATATCCGTAATCATGGATTTTGGGTTTTCTTTGTTTTGGTCTTGTCTGAGTCACGGTTAGATTCATGGTAATACATGCTAAAATGTTAAACTATTGAACATGAGTGTTATTTTTGTTAGCCATTAACTTTTTAAGTTGATTTCTATTGGCTTTAGTGTCGTTTGGAATAATGGTCTCAAATTTTGAGACCTTGCTTCAGTCTAATGGACTTTGCATAGCTGATACATATCTTGGCGTAAATCTAGTAAGAATTGAATTTTTTCTAAATGGATTCAACATCCAACAATAAGCAGCTTCTAAAAATGCACCCATAGTCGGTTTATGAGATCTTTCGTGGAACTTTGAGGAAGATTACTGATAATAAAAACGATCAATAAGTCAAGTTTATTGATGCTAAAATTATCTCAAATGTACAACACATGCCAGTGGCAAGCCTGAGAAACCACGTTTTTTTATACGACTTCTACTCAAATTGTCTGTCAGGAAATGCAAGCTTGGTTTTTTTGCAATAGCTATTATACTTGAAAAATATAGTAGATATAATGCAAGTACATTATCTACTATCAAGTCGATAAGATACGAATGTTTTATATACAGCTTCGAGTGAATAACTGCAACCTTTATTTGATTACATGCCGGTCTATCATGAGCTGTCCTCAAATTTGGTCGATATATAGAACCAAGATTTGATTAATTGGGTCAACCGGGTCGTATTCAGAGCTGTCAAGAAGAGTAGGCTAAAGCAAGCAATACCGGCAATGTCTGTATAGCAGGGACAAACAACCCACATATAGGGTCCAAATACGTTCGCAAGTGATTGCCAATGAAAAGCAAGATTCAATCAAAGGTCATATCATGAGACTAATTTTAGCAAACTATCAAGTCAAAGTTTGATGAGGACAGAATCAGTCAAGCAGGAAGCCAATATCAGACTGGTTCTAAAACGCAAAAAGAAAAAGTGGATGTTTATATATATATATATATATATATGTAAAGAAAAAAATTAGAAAAAAAAAAGAACAAAAAAAAAGAACAAAAAAAAAAGAACAAAAAAAAAGAACAAAAAAAAAGAACAAAAAAAAAAGAACAAAAAAAAAGAACAAAAAAAAAGAACAAAAAAAAACGGACAAAAAAAGAAATTATCAAAGGTGGAATGAGAGGACAGTAACAAAAATATGCAAAGTCTCCTGATGCTCACCAATACAATCAACCAAGAAAATCAAGCATTTTGCACGGTGTTCAAGCTACTTGGTGGCCGGTCTCTGACTCACATTAAGAAAATTATATACCCCCGTTCCTACAAAAAATCATGGAAATTCAATCCAGTAGTAAATCTTTCCCACGAGAAAATTGTGTGTAGCACTATATCCCGCCTCAAGTATTCAAGTGATCAAGTCAATTGTATCAAGCTATCAAAAATGCACCATCAAATTATACAACCCAGGAGCTTACCATTTCATGGGTCGGCCAAAAGCACTTCAAGCATCTCCACTGGGTCAACAATTTCTTCAAATATGAATTTTATACGTTGGTCAAAGGCCGTAGTTTCATACATAAAAAAAAAGGTTTTGGCGATCCCCGAATGGATTTTGCAGACAATTCTGTGGCACCAGTATATCTATTACGGGCCTCCATCAGCAAGCAAGAAAATATTTCGGAAGGAACTACGGAAACACAATAGCAACAATATGGCTATTCAAAGGAATCCTGCTCTTGGTGTTTTCTCTGAAAAACAACACAAAACAAAACTGAACCCATTTCAGTTGGGCGTCACAAAAATATTACGCTGTTAATTAGAGTATCAAATATCTTAGAACTAATAATATATATATTTCGCAGTTGTATAGTATAGGGTCCAGTGCCTTGTTCAAGTCCAGGAAGGGGGGGTCTATTGTCCAGTCCAATATCCATTCCAATATTTTGTAAAAAAAAAAAAGAAGAAAAAAAGAAGAAAAAAAATAATATCAAAAACACAAGGCAAAAACAATGTCAAAAACAAAAACAAAAACAATGCATTCGTTAACGAAGCGTCTCTGTATCCACTCAAACTGGAGGGTACTGCTTTCCAAAATCTTTGTTGTCTCAAATCACAATGTGTCCTTTACAAAGTTTCTCTTGGCTCAAGACTGAAGGTGTCCTTTTAAAAAGTCTCTCTCGACTTGAATCGGAATATGTTCTTTCCAAAATATCTCTCCACTCAAGTCAAAAGGCGCTCTTTCCAAAGTCTCTCTTAACTTAAGACTAAAGATGTCTGTTCACAAACTCTCTCTACTAAAATCTGAAGGCGCTTTTTCCAAAGTCTCTCTTCATTCAAGACTGAAGGTGTCCGTTCACAAACTCTCTCTTAGCTCAAATCAGAAGTTGGTCTTTAACAAATTCTCTCAATCCAAATCGGAAGGTGTCCCTTTACCAAGCATCCCTCCGCTCAAATCTAAAGGCGTTTTTTTACAAACTCTCTCTCTCTCAACTCAAATCGGAAGGTTCTCTTTCACAAAGTCCCTTTCTCTCTCTTCATTCAAACGTGAATGTGTCCTTTAGCAAAGTCTCTTTTGGCTCAAATCTGTTGATGTCTTTACCAATTCTCAACTCAAATCAGAAGGTTCTCTTTCACAAAACCTTTCTCAGCTTAAATCGGAAGGTGTTCTTTTACCAAGTAACTCTCCACTCAAGTTATATGGCACTCTTTACAAAGGCTCTCCTGTCACATATCTTCAGGTGTCCTTTTACAAGATCTTTCTAATCAAAGCGGAAGATGTCATTTTACAAAATCTATCTCGGCTAAAAAAACAAGGCGTTTTCTAATAAAGCCTCTCTGGGTTCATATCAGAAAGTGGTTTTTTTCCAAAGTCTCTCTTCACCGAATCTGAAGATTACTTTTCTCAAATTCTCTCTCAAATCAAATCTAAAGACGGCCTTTAACAAAGTCACTCTCAGTATCTATGACCATGAACATTATACAAATCATATCAAGTCAATACAAATCAACCCAAATCAATTGAAGACAAGACATATCAAGACACATCATGTCTATTAAAAAAATATCAAAACAGATTATACTATACAATTGAATAGAATAGAATATTTCATCAAATCAAATGAAGAAAAGCAAATCATAAAAAATATAAAAAAAAGCAAAAAAAAAAAAAACAAAAAAATCAAAAAAAAAAATTAAAAAATCAAATCAAAAAACAAGAAAATCAAAAATCAAAAAAGAATCAATGGAATGGACTGGCGTTGGACCCCCTCTCCTCTGGATCTGGACAAGGCACGAAGAAGAAATGTAATAGCTAGTAAAATATGGTGCTGACCTGCGACAGCATACACTGGGATTTGGACCATCCCAGCTAATATATTTATATTTAGAGTAGATCAAATTTTCAAATTATTGATTGTATTTTTGTGAATAAATCATCAAGTTCTTTGATATCCAAACTAAACTACTTTACTTCTAATTCAATTACCTAGTTTTAGCTAATCAAAACTTGAACTCACTGCAAAAAAAGTCTACTTGCACATATGTTAAGAAATAAATACAGAAAGAAAAATTACGATTTTAATTATTCTAGTATGATACTACTTAATATAATAAATTTATTATGACTTAAAAGAGAATTAGCTAACTGAGAAGACATGCAAAATTGCCAGTCAAAATGAATATGTCATGTATTATGCTCTTGATCGCAAGAAAACTTTTGTTTTCTTATTATTTTGGTATAATATCATAAAGAAGTAGGCACACATACTCAAACATTAGACTTATATATTGCTTAAAGTCATTGTTATATCTCTTTCTCTGTATGTATGCAATGAAAAATATAGCAGTAATAACTGTCATTATCTACAAAACCTTTGAACTCTGCGAGGGATCTATTATGTTTTCTCTTGAGTGTTTCTGAATTCAAAAAGCTAGAGAGATTTGGTGTTATATACTCTTCTGTTGTGTTAAAAGATGTACTGAAAAATCTTATATCTACGCCTTTGATTCTTTCTGTACATTTCTGTAGTAGCTCATTCATGTCAAATTTTCAAGGAAAAAATATTAATTTAGCGTATCAATAACTAAAGCATTTTCCACAAGTGCAAAGCTTTTTATAAACTTGAACTTATCTCGCCAAATCTACACCTTTCTTTTTATGCTAAGTATGTCATATACTGCCTCAATCGTTTATACGATTTTTGGCTGTAGAGACTTGAGGTGTATAATAATATTCTGAATTTGGTTTTAATCCCAACAGAAAACATTGTATTTGTGCTGAAAAGTACGGATTGACTTGTTAAATAAGCATACAAACAATATACCATCAACTATAGTATGAGACTCGCTGGTACTCGCAGCTATTTAGGCGAGTTTAGAAAACTTTACACACAACCAACAATTATTTAACGTTATTAACAGTTTCGTAAAAACTACGCAGAATACATTTATATTTATTAAAGGCAACGAACCTATCTTACAATATGTATTCCCTTTAAAAATAAAGTTTGTGTCGCATATTCTAATACAGGAATACAAGGGTTTTTAGTACTACCAAGTTATTTACAGCTACAATCCAATTGCTGACTGCAATAATAGTTTGACCAGATTGAGATTCTAAGTCTATAGTGCAAGTTAAGTATTTTTTTTTGAAATAATTGCAATATTAAAATTTGAAACAAAAAGAACAAGCTTGGAGATAAAGCAATACTTTATTATTTCATAAAGAGAGAGAAATATTAATACCAAATGACCTTTTTTTTTCCTATAAAAATAATATCGTCATCTTATAGTATTTCTCTTTGTAAAACATAATTTTTGCAAAAGTAAATTATTTGCTTTTTTGTAAGTAGAATATCCAATACAGTCTTAAATGTACATTCTGATAAAGCACCCAAGTTATTGCTGCTGTAAAATTGGTATTACAATTGTCAATTAATCAACCTTTGTAATAAACAACTTGATATTGGTCTTGAGTAAACTGAAGGCACAATTAGACCATTTGTTTTTGTTCTATATCTAACATAACTCTCGGTATTTAATGTATGTTACATAGCTTGAAATAATTGGTTTGTCAATGCCAATTGAACCTTCTAATAAAAGGATAGACTTTGGTCTCTTCTCCAGTATTCATTTGCTAATTGTTTTCACTTTTATTAATATATAACTACAGTTAGTATCTAGAGTTCTTTAAAAAAAATTAAAAAAAAAAGCTAGGTAGGTCTGTTATGTTTTGCATCATCGACACAACGTAACTTATGGCAATCCTTCGTATTCACTTGGAAAATCACCTTGATACCTCCAATTATTGGTATAACCTCATTTCAATAAAACTCAATCTCGAACTCAAAATTCCGCCACCTACCATATTGTGATAATTCAGATAATATACATTTATACTTTTTATCTTGTTTTTCGCTTTTCTACCTAATACCCTTATAGCACTTTGAGATATTATAAGTTTATCTCCTAGTGACTTGCGGGTCTCATTTATGTCTACTTGTACAAGCAAAAGAAAAACAAATCTCTTTGTACGCTCGAATAAAAAGCGCACAGACCAGTTTAGAGTAACCTACAAATCGCCGTTATAGAGACTTGTACTCCACTTTAAGAGTTATTGCTATACCGATTAAAACTAAACCCTTCATTACTCTTTTTACTTCTTTGCTTCTTTGCTCTAATTTACTTCACTTTGCAACATTTATTTGATTAAATCTATAAGCTGCTCCTACTGTCATAGAACAGTTACACAATCCTACTAAAAAGAGTATACAGCTATGTCACTGCTCTGACGTGAGAGGCAAAAAACACCCCTGGCAAAAAAAAGCGCAGTCCCAAACTTTAGTCGCAGACTGCGGGTATATCAAAATAAAGCCCATTCAACCGACACGGTTTTCTTCTCTTTAGCTTTTTTTATACTCTGGAGACGGGTACCCCCTGATTGCCTGTAGTTGAGTTTGACGCGCTACCTATGGGTCGATTGGGAGACATTCTTTTTCCATTCTGTGCAGGAAAAAGCGGAAGTGCGTCGTCTCTAGCTTCTTAGTTAATTCTTAGAGGCGCAGATCAACATTGTTCTGAATTGTGAATTTAATTGTATAATTTCTGAAACAATGGCGACGAGCAATGTTTAAAAAAAGCTGCCGCCGAGTTAGCATCATGAAAGTTTATTGAGTGGAGGACGGGGAGGAAGTGGAGTTTACTGCCGACTCTTCATGAAATCCTTGTTCGAAGTTCTCTGGAACTGACGGTGTTGCTTGGTAGTCGAACACGCTGGACCCTGCTACTTTGTGGTAGGTTTCTCTGGTACGTTCGCAGGCCCTTCTCAGTGATGAGATAGGGTAGTTGGGATGAACCCGGTTGTTGTCTTACGCCACGGATTAACACCATTCCCACACCTCCTTCGCTACCAAGTCAGGTTTACGTCCTGAGGGAGATTGAGCCGCGTAATGCGGGGACAAAGAACTTGGTGTCATGCTTTTTATTTTTTTACATTAGTAAAAAAACATTAAGTGAAATCATATAAAATAAAATAGCTTCTTTATGTATATCTTTAATAAATAAATAAAATAATTTTTAAACTGTTGTTGACTAATAAATAAAATAATTTTTAAACTGTTGTTGACTAATAAAAAAAATACGCGTTCAAACTTTTTTTTTACTTGATTGAAGAGGTTAATGTTGTAATTAGGAAGTCTCATTAATAAGAAAAATTAATTTAGTTAAATAAATCTAAAGATTAATATAATATAATATAATATGTGTGCTCTTATCATTGTGTTGTTTACTGTGTTTCATTGTATATACTTTTCTTTTTGTCTATAAAGTCTATAAAGAAAAATCGGAAGAGTTCTTGAGAATGCCATTGGCGTGAAATGTATAATTGAAGTTGGGTAATCCGGATGGGCATTGTGAATGGCATGCATTGGAATAAGAGAAAGAAAGAAAGAGCTGGGGAAAAATAAAATAAAAAATGGAGAAATGAGAGACGAGAAGGAATTAAGAAATGTGTGTTTGAAAGAGAGACAGAAAAGACGTGATGCGGATTGAATACACAAGTAATTTCCTCATTGCATTTGCACAGACTGTGTACAAAAAAGTTCAATTTGGATGTATATATTAAACAAACACCTTTACCTATAAGAGTTTTTATAGTATAGTCTCTAAAGATTAAGCTGACAGACGTTAGGGTATATCGAGTAAGAAAGACATGGATACCATAAAAGGGGTATATTGTACTATTGAATTGCATGGAGTAAAGTGAAGGTTCGATGCATGTATGCCAGTTATTAGATCTAATTCATTGATATTGTTTGTCTATGTTCGAGTGCTCAAAGGATACTGATAATCCTAATGATATAAAAATTAACCCTAAAGATACTGCATGAAAAAGAAGCCAGTTGTTACGTAGCCCAAAGGTGTGATGGGAGAATAGTAATATGTTATTTTTTATTTTGTTTTTAAATACACAAAATATATATTTTTTATGGTACTAATCCATATGAATGTATTATTAGCAGACTTGACTATAATTATGATGTAGGTGAAGCTAAACCCTTACCAATGACTGAAATGCGCACATAAGTGTTTGATCAAGTAGTAAATCGAAATGCTAGAAATAATGGAGAAACTTTGCACAACCTGGGGGCAGAATCGTGGATGTCATATTCATTACTGGAGGATATGGACAGTTCATCATATATTCAAAAGCGGATCAAACAGACTTTTGGGAGTCGAGTAAAAAAGTTCAAGTTTATTCAAAATGGGGGTAAAGCTGTATCTGAATGAGTTGCTTTGTTTGGGGCCAAACCGCTCTCGATCATCCAGCGTATTTTACGCCATACCTATGGTATCAGACTATGCTAAACCAGCCGAAAAGTTTGAGAAAGACCCCAAATCCGAGCAGGATAAATTCCGTGTATATATCCCCAAAGGTGAGCCAGTTAAAGAGGATGTCTGGCTCACAAAAAAAATGTATTGGAACAAAGGCAGACTTTGAATTATATGTATGATTTAAACTATTACTATGTGCGTGAACAAACGCATGAATAAACTAATAAAGAATGCTTATTTTGCTTTACAGCCTTGTGCGCATATGATGACGATGTCCTAATACAAGAGTTTCCTGCTGCCGAAAAGATTGATCTAGTGGATATTCTCAATACTAAATTTAAGCTTTATAATAGAGACAATGGTAATGGAAATGCCTTTTGGTTTGGGCAAGATTGAAACCAAAGTGAAAATTACAAATAGGAAATTTGTAAATGTCACTGTGTGGGATGTTGGTAGAGAAAAGGAAGCTCGGATCTATAGAAAAATACACCCACCTGTTCCTGTCAAAATAAAAAAAAATGATAAAATTTTCCAAACTAATAATAAAATATCTTTCTTGATCTCATGCAGATCCATACTTCGACCATACTTTGAAGCAAACATATATATATATATATCTATACTCTTTCAAATGAATACCGGCTTATTACTAGTATGAATGTTTTTAATGAATTTGCCTTTGGTAAATTAGAAAAGAAGTATTTCTCAAAAGTGGCTACATCTACAAAATGCTCTATATAGACTATAACTAACCAGGTAGGAACAATTGCTGTAACCATCTTTTTATGGTGTTCTCCAGCATACAAAGCACCTACTGTAATACATGTAGTTAAGCCACATCGGCTATTGAATAAAACCCCAAGAAAGTAACAATATATATATATTATGTAGAGTCGAAATTCAGGTACCCTTTTCTTTTACTTTTTATTTTTTATTTTTAAAACTTCTGCATACGATTCGACAAAAATGAATGGAAATATTTTATTGATGTTCCTTGAACAAGAAGAAAAAGATGCACGCCTGTTTAAACTCATCAATGACTATTTGATTCTCCAACTGAGACGTAATTACCAAGACCTTGATAGCGAAGAGGATGAGGTAGACGAGTCTGAAGATGTGTCAGAAGACGAGATTGAAGAAGAAACCGAATACGAAACCGAATACGAGACCGAAGACAACGATATTCTGTGTTAGACTCAGCCATAAAATACAGCTGCCAAAGAAAAGCTTTGATCAAGATACACACATTCATGCAGTCTATATACTGAAGGACAAGTTCCGTAAACACTTTAGAATATGAAACAAATATCCCCCCCATCTATCCATACATCTCTGTTTCTTTTTGAGTTATTTGGGTGGGTTTCTTAACGATATCAATATCTTGGACCGGGTCCATTTTTTAATTGAATACACTGCTGCTAAAAAGAAGATACAAATGTTGACTTCACTATCGATGGAAATACCTACAACCAGAAAGGTATTACTTAATATAAGTAATATACCCAGCTTATGCTGTATCTGTTAAAAGCTTTAAAGATCCTTGGTCAGCAAAGGAAAAAGGTAATTGAATATAGATAGATAGATATTATACTTTTTTTCAATTCTGTAAATTGATCACCTTTCTTTTTTTTTAAAAAAAAAAAGAACTTTGTCCAGGAATAAAAGGTAGCAAGAAAGATGTAGAGCACGACAGAGAGGATATATTGAACGTTGGTGTGGGTTGCGATAAAGGAGTACAGAGAGAAAAGGGGATCAGGGTAGTGCAAGAAAGGTCAGAAATGGAGACTATTTTAGAAAGAACGATATATTTGATTTCTATATTGGAAATGACGCTTTCTGATGGAAATCCTGTGGCAAAGAGAAAAGAGAATTAGGAAAAAAAGAGCATTTATATACATTTGTATTCTTTTATTCGTTTATTTTATTTTTATTGCAAGTTAATCGCTTTCGAGCACTTCGGCATCGCTGCTATCCTCAAGCATAGTTTGAAGATAAGGTGGGACTCCTATGCCTCTTTCTCGGATATCCTTTTGGAGATTCAAAATGGCCCGACGATTCAAATGGTCTTTAATGGATGAAGCGTCGATGAGCAAATGCTTCACATCTTCAGAAGTTTGATTGATGGCATTTTGTCGTTCTGTGACCAAGGTATGCTTCCTGACTTGAATGAGCTCTTTTTGGGCAAATCGCAAAAGTTTCTTAATGCTCCCTTCCCGCTGATCGTCTTTTTTAATAAATTGCTCTTGGAAAAAAAGCAACCTTTCCACATCATCATCGTACTTTCTTTTTCCTGATGTTTGGCCGGTTACCTGCTCCCTTACACCCGGATAAGATAAAGGTAAAGATAAAGGTAAAGATACAGGTACAGGTACAGGTACAGGTAGAGGTTGGTGTTGAAATTGATAAGGATATGGGTGTGGATATGGATACGGATATGGATATGGGTGTGGAAATTGCTGCTGTTGCTGTTGCTGTTGCTGTTGCTGTTGCTGTTGCTGTTGCTGTTGCTGTTGCTGTTGCTGTTGCTGTTGCTGTTGCTGTTGCTGTTGCTGTTGCTGTTGCTGTTGCTGTTGCTGTTGCTGTTGCTGTTGCTGTTGCTGTTGCTGCTGTTGGTGCTGTTGCTGCTGTTGGTGCTGTTGTTTTGGCTCTATTTCAGCTTCAGCTTCTACTTCTACTCCTACTTCTGCCTCTGCCTCTGCCTCTGCCTCTGCTTCTACATCCACATCTACATCTACATCTACATCTACTTCTACATCTGCTTCTACATCTGCTCTTGCTCCTTGCTCTTCGGGAACATCATCATAATCAATAAAAATGGGGGTAGATTTTGCCACTTTTTCCTTTGGTGTCTTCTTCTTCTTCTTGTTCACCACACTTTCCCACCACTTTGGATGTCTAGATAATATACGATAGCAATGGAGAAGGTTGAAGTATTTCTGCATCTCGGCCATGTATAACTGATTTGCCTTTGACTCCTAAACTTTTATTTATTTATTTAACTACCTTGAAAAGCATAATATATATATATACATATATATATATATATATGTATGTGTGTGTGTATAGGCTTATAAAAAAAGTGCACACTTCTTTTTTATATTTAATACTAATAAAAAAAATCACTTGCCTTGTCGATGTTTGGGTTGTCTTCATTTGACTTTTCTACTTGTTTGACTATTTCGGCATATTTGTTCACTGCCTTACTTATGATATGCCAGCGAGCAGGTAAGGCACGAGAATGACGCTCCACAGAGCCCACAATAGAATTCTCGCGATAGTGCTCTTTTATCTTCGACCAAAAGGTACTGCCGCTACTCTTTTGCTCAGGGCTATAATCTGCGTCAAAGGCAACATAGAGATAGGAGCGACAAAGCTGTTGATCATCATATATAGAGAATTTTCTTTTTGGGAACCAAGGGTCTTCTATATATTTGATATAATTTTTTTTTAAAAAAAAAAAAAGGAAAAGAAAGAGGTGCAATATTTATTACGAGTTACATAGACAAAAGTTTTTATATCAGTTCCAAGCGTGAATAACGTGATTTTATTTTATTTAATTTAATTTAATTTTATTTCATTTTTTTTAAAAAAAAAAATGGACAGGACATTTACTTTGACTAGCAATGTTGAATTCCTCATTGACAATGAGGTTTGGAATTTCGCTCATTATTTTTTTTAAAAAAAAGTACTTCTTTGACGGTTGAATGAAAGAACAAAGAAAGAAAAAGAAAAGATAAAATGTTGTTGTTTTTTTTTTTTGAGTGTGTTTTTTTTTTAAAAATGTCACATTAGTTTTAATGTATCTGGTCTTTAAATGTTATCAGAAATGTAATTGTTGTTGTTGTAGACGATTTTTGCTGAATAAACTACTTTATATTGAGTAGCAACAGAATCAGATTTAAATGTAGCAGCTACTCCAGGCGCTCTAAATATTATTATTATTATTATTTTGGTTTAGTATTTGTTCTGCAATAGAGTCAATCTGTAAAGAACAAAAGCGATAGATCTACCTTCTTTGATAGCATTTTCTACCCATAATTTTTCTTTGAATATGTTACTATGGAAACAAAAGAAAAAAAAATTAGTTCTTCAGATGCTTTATATATTGTAGTGAGTTCATCTTTATATTTCTATAAATCATCTGAATAAGTTATACATAATAATACTAATGATATTAAGAGAAGAAAAAGTTACACTCGGGATGAAAATATGGTTTATTTTCAGGTATATGACTCTACTAGATTACGATGAGTCCATGACTTTGATCTTTGATGATGATTAAGGTGGTAATAATAAGGAGATATTTGAACTATTTATACATAATAGAAAAAAATTATTATTATTGTAGGTGAGAGAATGAAAATGATATTGCAAGATACAAGATATTTACTGTCCAACAAGAGACCTCTTTTGTCTTGAATGATTTATGTGCTTCAATTGAATTAAAGTGAATTGAAATTCATGGTAGTAATACATTATTTTAATGATTTGGTTTGACCTGCCTACTAACTTTTTCTTACCATCGGTCAACGTTAATTAAATAATCGGTGTGTATGTGTACTATAAATTTGACATTATTGTTGTCTATATGCGTATATAAATAGAAATAAAGGTGGTGTATAGTACATGATCATAATAATTGATTATCAGCCAAGCTTTTCTTCTTTATAAACTACATTCAAAGAGGCTCATAAGCTAATTTTGTACCTGTGTTAATAAGCCAACAGATGTTTTGTATTTAAACTTGGTGCACTAAACAATAGACTTTATAGTATATTTTGTTTCCATAGATACAAAAAGGGCGTAACATACCTTGAGAAATAAATAGAGATTGTTGTTAGGTTCAGCCATAAAATACAAACAAAAATATATAAAAACCAAAAATTTTGTCCCCTTGTTTTCTTATAGAGGGAGGGGGGGGGTTATTGAAGTGCAATAAAAATAAAAGAATATATATATATATATTGGCTAAGTTACAATAGTAAAATCAAATCAGATATACGAAAGACTATTACTAATTTTTTGATATAAAAATTTACATATAATTTTCTTGGCTCTCAAAATCAACCATTTCTTCAAGGTCTTTTTTTTTTTAAAAAAAAAAAAAAAAAGAAAAGATAATGGCCATTTGTGGGTTTGGTTACACATCGGAGCCATCGCACCCCTTCCATCAAATCCATTGCGCCACAGACCTCTAACCAACCAAAAACCAAACCAAACCAAATCGAATCAAAGTATAAATAATATATATAAAAATAAAAATAAAAAGCTGGTGTTTTCTTCTTATTTTGTATTTATTTTTCAACTCAAGATCAAGACCAAAACCAAGACCAAGACCAAGACCAAGAATAGAGCCAATTCTACGTCCATAAAAAATAAAAAATAAAAATAAATATATATAAAAAAGGTACCTTTTTTTCCCCCTTTTTTTCCTTCTTCATCCTCCTTCTCTTCCGCCTCTTTCCCTCTCCCTTTTCTTTCTCTTCTTTCTCTTTTGTATTTCTTTGTATCTTTTTTTTTATATATAACACTTTTATATATATAAAAATAGATAGATACATTATTGATTTGATTTCTACTTTCTGTCATCCATCATGGCTTTGAAATCTCTGTGGATCGCCTTGTTATGCATGGCATCTGCATTGCCATGGACACTAGGTACATTCCGTCTTTCTGTCTAAATTTTTGTTTTTCTTTACTTTACTTTCTTCTTTGTTTAAATAAAATACAAAATAAAACAAACAAACACAAATGACTTACTTAACTCTTATATACTACATTGCACTACATTGCATTACATTACGCTATACAACACAACATTACAGCCCACAGTGTGAATGACCGGAAATTACTACGAATCGAACCTCTTCAGACAGTTGGAGTGGACATTGCGCCTCGTCCGGAAACATTCTTTCAGAAACGCAGTCTGACACCAAACCCAAATCACACACCTCGGGCCAGCGGTATCGAGTACGACGACATTCTCCGCTTGGCTGTCACCACGCACAATCGCACATTCTGTCTTCACCTCGTACCAAACCTTGAACTATTCCATCCCGACGCCGTCCTCAACAATGGACTGGGTAAAGAAGAGCCTCTGCAGCACGAAGAATTTAGAATCTACCGTGGCTATGTTGTCGACCCAGCTTACTCTGAACAGAGATGGGCTGCAGATCGGGCTGGTGTCCTTCGAGATGAGTTTTCTACAGACTCTGAACAAGGCATTCTCGGTTGGGCACGGATAGTTGTTCGGCATGATATAAAGTGAGTAAACTAACCAACTGAATAGAACAAGAACAATGTTGATCATAATGGTGATAATTATAGCAGTAGTTAATATCAGTAGCAGTAGCAGTAGCAGTAGCAGTAGTAACGGTATCTATATGTACATATTATTATTTTTGGAAGTCAGACAGGCAGGCAGTCTAGACAGAGAGAGGGAAAAAAAAAAGATAAATGGGGGAGATGGTTACTGATTATCCTTATTATTATTAATATTATTTTCAGGCACCAATTAGACCATCCCGTATTTGAAGGCACCTTTAAGGTTTATGAAGATATGTATCATGTCAAGGTCAAGCACAACTACAATCTTGCCAAACGATCCGATGATGCCGATGTCGAGCAGACCGATGCAGCCATGGTTATCTACCGTGACTCTGACACCATCAAGGTCTCGCTGGATCGTCGTGCTAGTGAATCCGCAGAACCCGAGTGTGGTTTTGATAATCTTCTTCACCCCCCACAATCGACCTCTAAATTATATCCTCGGATAGCAGCACCAGCACCCGGATCATCATCGTTATCTTCTTGGACTGGTGGTGGACTGGAGCAATACAACCCTCTAAATGTCATTGATCCTTTTGCGTCGTCACACCGTCTTGCCAAACGTGCCACTGGATGTCCAACAACCAAGAAGAGTAAGATTTGACTTTTTTGAAACAGACAAGAGAACCCTGTTCCAGATACTCTGTAAATTTCTTGTGTGTTTTTTTTTTAAAGAAAAGAAATATATAATTAGTTTATAGTTTATTTAGGTTAATGCTGATTAACAAATAATAATTATTTGTCACCGCCACTACCATTACTAACTATGATTATTACTATTGTTGTTACTGTCAATAGTCAATTATATGGGAGCAGGTAAGATTATATATACTTATATATACTTATATGTTAATTAATTGATATTAAATTTAATTTTTAGCTGCTGATTGTACATATGTAAAATATTATCAGTCCATGACAAATGCACGTATGCAGATCATCAATGACTGGAACACCGCATCTGCTGCCTATGAACGCAGCTTCAATGTGTCTCTGGGTCTGATCACTATCACCATCATGTCAGAAACCTGTCCTACTACTGTTGCTGCCAATGCTACCTGGAACCGTCCCTGTTCGGACAGCTACACAATCAGCAGCCGGCTGAGTGATTTCAGTCTCTGGAGATCAAAGATTGGAAATGATGGAGCAGGTCTCTGGCATTTAATGACAAGTTGCGCGTAAGAATCCCCCCCTTTTTTTATTATTACATATCTTTTATTGTTTATCTTTACTACAGCTTTAGCTTAGTTGGATAAAGGTATTATCCTTGACCTTGTATATAAGGTGAAGGAGTAAGAAAGAAAGAAAGAAAGAAAGGGGGCAATTGGGTGTGGGTGGGTAAAAGGAATATGCTGTTTTTGGATTTCGGGTTTTTTTTTTTGGGTTTTGGTTTTGGGGTTAAACAGAATTTTGTTACTGTTGTTATCATAGTACTGGCGTTGAAGTTGGTGTTGCATGGCTGGGTAGACTGTGTACATCAACCGCAATTACACAGACCGACAAGGGTGTCACACAACACGTATCTGGTACTGGTGTATCTTCTATCAGTAAGTAAAAAAAAAAAAAAAAAAGTACAAAAAAGAAGCTCTTTATTTTATTTCATTTTTATCTTGAAGAAGTAGATAGATAAATCACAAAGCCTTTTATAATAGTAATAATAATAATAATAATAATAATAATATAACATCTTCTCCTCCTTCACTAATCGCCATTTTCCGTTTTTTTTTTTAAAAAAAAAATCTTTCTTTTATCTTTAATAGTTCGTGATGAGTGGAAGGTTGTTGCCCACGAAATTGGTCATGGATTTGGTAAGAATAACATACAGACAATTGAGAGAAAAAGGGCAAATAGAAAAACAAAACTCTTCAACTAATCACTAACAAGAAGAAGAAGAAGAACCCAAGTAATCCGACTAATGGAAATTTGTAATTATATATAGGTGCCATTCATGATTGTACATCTTCAAATTGCCCTTGTAGTGGAAGCAGCTGCCAATGCTGCCCTCTTAGTGCAACTCAGTGTGATGCTGGCGGAACTTATATTATGAACCCTTCCAGCAATGTGTCGACCAACGATTTCAGTCCATGCTCTATCACTACCATTTGTAGTGCATTCCCTGCTTCAGGAACATGTCTTGAGGGTAAGTCATATTAGGGGTTTATTGTTATTCTTTTAGTTGGTCAGTTGGGTTAGTCAGTTGGGTTAGTCATTCAATTTGGTTCAATTTGGTTCAATTTGGCTTTGTTGGTAAACTGTAGGCTGCGCATTGAATGGGATTAGATTGGATGAAATGAAATGAAATTAAATGTGATGGAGATGGGATGGGATGGAATGGAATTATATTGCTTGTTTGTATATGTCACCTGGTTTGCTTAGGTAAACTAATGAGATTACTGCTTGTATTACATTGTGTATAGAACCTGGATCTCGTTCTGTAAAGACATTGCAGATGTGCGGTAATGGTATCAAGGAAACTGGCGAAGATTGTGACACTGGAGGAGCCAACAGTACTTGCTGCGATCCAGCCACCTGTAAATTCAAAGCCAATGCTGTATGCGAGTAAGTCTTTACAAACTCATTCTTTAGATATAATGTGAAATCCTAAACAAACAAAAAAAAACAATTATGTAGAGATTTCAATGATAATTGCTGTGACAAGTGCCAGTTGAGACCGGCCTCATACGTCTGTAGACCGGCCTCGACTTCTTGTGATCTGGAGGAGAGTTGTAGTGGAACCTCTGCAACGTGCCCGGAAGACAAGTTTGTGACCGATGGAGACTCTTGTGGAGGCAATAGCACCGGACTTGCCTGTGCATCCGGCCAGTGTACTTCACGAGACGCACAGTGCAAAGAGAGAGGCACAACGATGGGTATCAGCAGAGCCTGTTCTAGTAACAGTAACAGCTGTGAACTCACTTGCGACAATCCGGGTGGTCTTGGATGTCTTATCTTTAACGGAAAATTCATTGACGGTACACCTTGTGGTATCGGTGGAGCCTGCAAGGATGGAAAATGTGACCTTTCCAACTTTGGTGAGTGTTTGATACTTCTTCTTCTTATTCGTATTAGTGTTGTTATTGTTGCTTGTAAGAGAAAGTAAAAGAACAGAAAGAAAAGAAGGCTGAGCAGCTACTATAATATAAATATATATATATATATATATATATGTCTATTTGATGTGTAGGTAACAATGCCAAGAACTGGCTGGAAAAGAACAAGGCGATTGCTATTCCGGTTGGTATCGTGCTTGGTCTCTTGATCATATTCTGCGTCTTGAGATGTATTTATTACAGCTGCTGTGGTGGCTCTCGTTATCGCACCCTGAACAATGCTAATGGTGGTGGCGTTTATGTTGTGAATGGCGGACCGCCACCGTATGTGCCTGGAGGAAATAGCGGAGGAATCTATTATCCACCTCCACCACCTATGCAATACGGACCTCCCCCTCCACAAGGGTGGGTAAACCCTGCCCAATACAATGGCTATCAGCCCAATGCTCCACCGCCTATCTACTCTGTTCCAGGACAGCAGACACGGGATGCGTACGAGATGAATACACCAACCAACTGGCAAGCTCCATCCCCACCCCCACCGCCTTCATCTTCAGGCCCCGCACAACCTGGCAGTCCAAACCCAGGTACACCACCACCACCAACCAGTCCCAATCCAAACAACCCATACACTCAGCAACAAACTGGGCCTAATGGTGCAAGACGTTATCAAGAAGGTGTCTTGTAAAAAAAACATGTATATATATATATATATATATATATATTTAAATAATAATAAGAATAATTATAGTTATAGTTATAGTTATAACCTCACATATTTTAAACTAAAATATAATATAATATAATATAATATAATATAATATATATATATTTATATTTATATCCTGTGCTTTAAAAATAAAAAATGCCAACAGCAAATGTATGTATCTATGTATCTATGTATCTATGTATCTATGTATCGTATTGTGTTGTGTTAATTAACAGTGACATTTCTATGACTGTCTGTTATTCTGTTGTTGTTCTTGTTGCTGTTGTTATTTCTTTATTAAAACTGAAAAAAAAAGCTTGATTCTATTATAATAGCTTACGTCTTGAGTTTCTGTTTTTCTTTAAAAAGGAAAAGCGAGATTAACGGGATTTTTCCTTTCAGTTTGTGTGTGTGTGTGTGTTTCCTTTTTCTTTTGTGTTTTGTTCTCACAAGAAAAATGACTAGTGTTGTATATATCGTATTATACAATCTAGAATTCTGCCGCCTTTGAAGGTAGATCATACTAATACTAATAAGAATAAGGTTCTTCAGTACATTAATACTGAATTGAATTGAATTGAATTGAATTGAATTGGTTTCTTGGGTTGTACTTGAATATCTTCCCGTGATTTTATTTTATTTTTAATTTAGTTTATTACTGTTATTACTGTTATTACTGCTATTATTATTTTAAAGAAGTTTCTACATTTGTACGCATTAAGATGATGATCCTTTCTATCTTATTTTGCCAAGAGAATATATATATATATATATTTGGCTCATAGCAACAACAAAAACAACAACAACAGCGGAAAGAAAGAAAAGAATGTCTGGAAATTTGATTGCTTAGTTGGAAACGCTTTTTTCTTATTTTAAAATAAAGGATAAAAAAAAGGGTCAAAATATTATTAACAGAAACTCTATCAACTTTATATAGATGTAAGCATTTAGTGAGTGGAATTTTTTTAGTAATTGAAATGAATGGTGCATTATTCTGCAAAAAAAAACACATAGGCATTAATAATAAGCATTGGTCGGTTTAGATTGATAGACAGTTGATATATTGATATTAATATTTTTATGCTCATTTCTTATTTCATTTCATTGTGATTAATAAACATATCATTATTATAGATATTTTCTTGTTTATTACTAGACATCATGTGCTCAATGAATCATCTTGGTAGTCAATCCATGAGATTGGGAATCTAATGTAATGATTGCTAATTAACAATGAGCTTTCATAAATAAAACAAGCAAATACACACACATATACGTACAGAAAGGAAGTGTTTGTGAGTCAAGAATAAGAAGAAAACAAACCTGCAAGTATACAAAACATTATCCCCTCAATTCATTCACTCACCAGCCTACCAAGCCTAGCCACCCCCCCTTATATTATAATAATAACAACAAAGTATAAAGCAACTAAGCCTGATTTCTTATTTCTTGATTAATTATTTTGGTATGTTTATATGTTATTTCAAATACCAAGTAAAAAAAATGCATCTTTATATAACATTAAGCACTTGACCTGTTTGTATTATTCTTATGTGCTTTAAGTATATGAATTGTATATGAATTGTATATGAGTGTGTAGCGTAGTGTAATGTAGTGTAAGGTGTACATATTGATTAAATAATAGGGATCTGTGTTTAATACAATAATAGTAATAGTAATAAATATAATAAATTATAACTAAAATAGAGAGAGAGAGAGAGAGAGAAAGGAAGCTATTATTACTATTATCGAGAGTATTGTGATGGTGGTGGCAGTAGTGGGGTTTGAAGGGAATCAAGCTGCTTTTGATAGACTAGCGGTAGATTTATTTCCGAGGTCTGACAAACGGATGCTATTTTCAGTAGTCTTGCCGTGTACCTTTGAGCCATCATTCTGTGATACGCTTCTACAGATATTGACTTTTGTGATCTGGGACGGACGATAGTTTCAATTTTAGCCCCATCTTCTGAGCAACAAAGGTCACTCTGACCATCATCATCATCATCATCATTGGATTTTACTTGGACTTCTTCATAATCATAAGCATAATCATAATCATCGTTATCATTATCATTATCATCATCGTCATCATCTGTTGAGATTTCTTGGATATCTGGAGTTGTGTCGTAGTTGTCTAGTAATGATTCCGAGGGATGTGCAAAATAGTCGATTGTTTTATTGGCTAGATTTTGGATTTTATCGTCATCGTTATCATCATCATTATCATTATCATTATCATTATCATTGTACTGACAAGATAAATTGACAGTAACGACAGTAATAGCAGCAGCAGCAGCAGAAGAAGAAGAAGAAGTAAAAGTAGATGAAATGGGGTTTGTGAGCATGATTGTTCGATTTTAATTTTGATCAATAAAAAGAAGAAGAAGAAGAAGAAGAAGAAGTGAAAAAGAAAAGGCTGTAAAGCTGTCCATTCTAAAATAATGATAATAAAAGATAATTACAATGTGGATTGACTTACTTCTTTGGGTGACGCAGGAAGAATGTCTATGGAGTGCAGTTGGTGTGGTTGGATATAGATTATTGGACATTGTACATGCTTTGATGTTCTTTGTTGTGAGTCAAGAAAAGTATCCCAACGCTCATCGATGTCTGGGGAATGCACATGGACAATGGAGGAAGGTGCTTGGTAATGAGACTTGACGGTTGTATTAAAATTAAATATTCCAGTCATTACAGCTCAGTATAAAGAGGTAGTTTAATAGTATTGTTTCAATAGCAATATAGAGTCAATGAAGAAGAAGAGAAAGAAGAAGTAGAAGAAGAACGCGGCATTAGTATGTATATATACAGAAATTTGTTTTTTTTTGTAATAGCCTCGAGTGAAATACCTTAAATATTTTTTTTTCTAAATAAGAAAATTATTGCATAATATAAAGCTAAGCAACATCGTACAGTGATCCGCTTAATTTTCATATTATAAACCAAAAAAAAAAAAAAAACACACGCATCTTTATATATTTAAATATATACATAATACATACATGCGTATATAGAAATAAGAATAAGAATTAAATATACCCTAAATATATATACTTAATTACTATGTATATCCATTGTCAACCTACTATCAAATAAACCTTTTTTTTTGTTTCAATAAAATTGAAACGATATTACTTTTTCAATATTAATAAATATCGAGTAAAATACAACGGGTGCTAGTGATACTGATATATTACATACAAATGTAAATTTTACAAGATGTGTATTTTATCATCGATCGATCGTAAAGTCTAGACAAACTGTCATTCTCTTTTATAGTCTCGAGTACATTTGTATGTATGTGAGTATATTAAAGGTAAGAGCTACCTTGTGTTTATGTCTACAGATCTGTGTGTGTGTGTGATTTAATGATCACTAAAGAAATATAAACAAAACGTATCATTGCAGAATATACTTTATTCTTACTCATATTCTGTTTTGCCTGTATTCGCTATTTGTTGTGCATTGTATTATAAAATAAATGCTAAAATGAATCTCTTGCTTTGATTTATTTTATTTTGTTTTATTTGATGTACTCTTTCTCTCATCCTTATGTCTTGTGTGCGTGTGTATTTCTTAAAGGGTATTCCGGAATACGTTCCATTTGGTGTCGATCCAAACACCGCAGTGTAACTATGGTAAAATACAAGATGTCTGACAACGCACTCTTATTTAATATCATTATAATATTATCTCTCTTTCTCTTTATTAGTAAGTGCCAATAAAGATCCTTATTTGCTATCCTTGCTATAAAATACAAGTTATAAGTAATACTAATAAAAAGTATCGAATGAATCAAGACATTAAAGATGTTTTAAAAAAAAAGAGTCTAGAATGACAAGATGGTCTAGTCTTATCATTGTCTAATATGTTTATCTATAGACTATTTTAACACTTGCAAAGATATATTCTGTATAATATAAAATAATACACCGTCAACATAGAAATCTACAAATGGTTCCTACTGTTTCATTGATGCACAGTGAAGTAATTAAATGAAAGGACAGGTCATCAATGAAACCTAAATTTCATTTGATTTTATTCCATGTTGGATCTTCACAAAAAAGAAGAAGAAGAAGAGAAAAGGTTTGTAGTATATTCTAACTTTCATAAAATATATACAAGAAAGCAACTTCTTTAGAGCAGGACAGATAGAGATCGAAAGATGTCTATAATATATTTATATAATTTGTGTGTGTGTTTTTTTTTGGCTCCAAAGTTGAGCATAATCCTTTCGTTCACAATCCAAGGTGTGATATTCTGTATTATCAACACAGATCTCCTTCCCCGTGTCTTTTCTCTTTATATTTTACAAAATAGTAATTTCTTGACTCTTCATGGAATAGCACAATAATTTAGCTCCTGGAGTGTTTTGTAGACCTATATTGCCTATATTATTTACTCTTGTTATCACCACACGACCCTATCTCACTTCTCTTACAAATAATATATAAGACTTGTTAGTCCTTCAATTGGTTGGTACATGGAGAAATCTAGGCTGCCTTGGTACCCCATGTCATTATACTCATACCTTTGTTCTAGACCTCTTCTCACTCCCTCTCACCATTAGATCTATTTGTCTTGTGACGGATAAGTACTTGTCTTATTTGATAAATAAAGAAAAAATTGGCTCCCTTTCTTCTTTTTGTCATTAACTTCATATCTTTCAAGTCTATTTGATTATACATACATAATCTTTGAAAAAGGTTATAAGCTCTTCCTGACTCTACTTACAACAACCTATTTCTTTTCATATATATAACAATCTACTGATTCTAGGAATCTCTTGATGAACAAACAGTAGATTGGAAATGTAATTGTCAATCATCTTATGTTTGTCAGATTGTTTGAATTATAACCCTACAACTATCTCTCTCTCTCTCTCTCTTTATTATCAATATTTGTGATGTGCATATTTATATAGATGTAAGTTTTATTTTATACTTGAACCCATCTATGAGTCGCTTTGCTGAATCTTTTTTTTTCCATGTCTATGCCTGTATTTGTCTTGTTTTTTATAAATGACGGTTGATGACGATGAATTAAAGGGGTGGTTTACCAATAATGAGTCTTCTTTAATTATCTTTGTCTATTCATTCATTTTAGTGTTGAGTTTGAAAACAAACAAAAAAAATTATCGATTTTTTGGAAGAAGTCTATAGATTCTATTGGATAAAAAGCCATCAGTTTTTGCGCAAAATTCATGATTAGTATGGACTCCATATATGGAAGTCTTTTTTTTTTTTCTTCTTTACTCTGTGGGTGTGGGAAATATATATATAATATATATATATATATACATTTATGACATAGTAAAACATAAAAAAAAAATCACATACGCACACACAAGAAAATAAGACAAAATCTCAACTTTTATATATATATTTATTTTATAATACAAAATAAAAATATTTTTTTTTAGGGTTTTTTTTTCTTAACTTTTTTTCTTTTTTGTTATTCCGTTTCGCTCTAGCTTGTCTCGTGACAGTTAAGGGACTATGAAGACCGACTTATTTCTACAGTTCTTTTTTTTTTTGGATTTATATCTACTTATTCTTCTTCTGCTTGTTAATTCTTTTTAATATATAATATATTCATTTATTCATTTTGTTTCTTTCCACTTATTACAAACCACAAAATATAATATAAAAATGAAGAACGCCTGTGTATTCTTTAGCCCAAGGTAAAGAAAGAACAGCCAACAAAAGAAAAATAAATAAATAAATATTTAATATGTCTTTGCTCCTGTAGAACCGTTACTCTCTTCTTGGCACTGTTTGGAATCACAACCCATTTAGCCAGTGTCGGAACAACTGCTCTGTTAGCCAGTGACCTTCGATTGACATACTTTACCGGACTTAGTCTTTTGTCGTATTCCTTACTGTCTATCTATGCCTGTTACAATGGTGTAGCTGGTGTTATTCAAGTAAATAATGATATATATATATATGTTAATTAATTAATTAATTAATTATATATATATTTGTGTAGAAATCTCCTAGAAAGATTGAAATCTATAGCTGGTACTACTGCTTCGATACCTTGATTCAGACCCTTTTCTCTGTTGGTGCCGTATTCTTTACTTTCTATGCAGACCTCGGACTCTGCCAGAACATTTTTGAAACTAGCGACGATGTACTCGGTAGCTATGCATGCGACCTTACTTTCAACAACAGTATCTGGTTTTTATCTGCCATTATACTTGCCAATGTTCTCACAAAGGTAATGATCATTATTATAGTTGTGAATTACACATGTTGATATATAAATATATATATATATGTATATCTGAATCTTTATTGTCTTGTAGGTTTATCTTGCTTTTGTGATCAGTAGCTGTGCTCGTGATCTTTCGAAGCAACTGGACGAAGAACGCTTTGTTGGTTCAAATGTTATTGTCGTTCCATCTCCAGCCGCTCTTGCCGCCGATGAGGAAAAGGTTATTTATGTAGCCGGACACGAATTTGTGCCGTACAACGATGAAAAGAAGAACTAAGAAAACTATCTAATTATATAATATATATATATATATAAACCTTTTGCTTTTGCTTTTGCTCTATTTCTTTCTCATAATAATATAATAATATAATAATATAATAAATCTTTATCAGTCTTACTGAATAAACCATTAATTAGCATCATCAACATCATTACTGAGTGTTGAATACTGTGTATTGTGTTCTCTTTGTAATTTATCAAACGGGGTCTGGTCTCTCCTTTCTTTATTTTTCTTCTCCTTTATTTTCTCTCTCTTTCTCACTATCTGCCTGCCTGCCTGCCTGCCTGCCTGTATAAAGTTGAACCAATCGAGTATGAAAATTTTATCTACTCAGTTCTTGTACTCTTGTTCTTTATTCTTGGTGCGTTTTTAGTTTAGTTTAGTTTTTATACACATATAGCATTTATTTATTTATTTATCACTGTAGGAAATGGCACAATTTGTAATTCCGTAGTGCACATTTCGAGCGATTATGTGCAAGACTGCACATTCTCAATGGACCAATAAAAATCAAGAATAACTCTGTTGGTGCTACATCTCTTGGCAAATCGGATCCGTGGAATACCAGGACTTTGAACTTTATTTAGTGTTGTACAACTCTCTCCAGCCAGTAAAATACATATATTAAGATGAACTAGACCTTGTTTGAGTAAATTTATCTATTCACTCATTGGTCAAAAATATGTAATACGTCATGGGCGAATTTGTTTTTATTTTTATTTTTTATTCTTGGTCCCTGAAATATTTTTTTTAAAAAAAAAAAAAAAAAAAAACTACAAAAAACAACCACAAAAAAAAACATACAAAATAATAGAAGAAGTACACAGGGCAATAAACAAATTATATTGTATTTCATAAAGTTATTTTTTAAAATGATATTTTTATTAGGTATCTATAGATTGAAAATATAAAAGTTAGTATTACCTACTCTAATAAACAAAACAAAACAAAACAGTTGATTTTTATTAGTTGTGATTAAACATATAAATGACTTTATAAGTACCTTACTTGTTAATAAGATCTTCCATGATATTTGGCAGTTCTCCACTTGTGAGAGAGTATGAGCAATGCTCCCCAAGAATTTTCGAATCTGTGAAGAGCAATGTTTTTCAGGGCTGCTTTCTCTTCGAGGCTGCTGCTCATTATTGCCTTTTGGTCATCTGCCAGACTACCCCATGACGGTATAGCAATATTTCTGCCACTATACTTGGAAAATGAGTAGTGGACTAGCTCTCGAGCGAGCTTGCCCACTGCCTTGTACACCAATTCAGCTTTGTCGAGGTCGCCTCCAGTAAAGTGTGCGGCCAACACCCCCTTGAAGCATTTCGTCGACTGATTCCAACCTTCTGGCTTCCCATGGGGTGAAGGGCGTTTGATGTCACGGTCCCCAGTTGCAGGCAATAACATCATCGCAGTCCGAGCGTTGTCTCTAGTTGACAGAGCTAGTTCCGCCTCGCAATTGTTGGTCAAGGATTCGAGCCTATCTTCCAATAAAGCAACTTTAGTTCTTAGTGAAGCATTAGAATCTTCTAAGTATGCCAGACGTTCAAGTATTTGTGTAATTTCGTGTGTTGACATGGTAAAAAATATAGTTGGAGAATAAAATGAAAGGGGCGAAGTGAGTCGAAGAAAAATGAGTAAAAATTAATTTAAAAACAAACAATCAAAATCCTTTTGAAGAAATTTTTTTTAAGACAATTAGCGCACTTGTAATTTTCACTACCAACGTGCCAACATAATACAAAAATATTCTCATCTCGTGAACATTTTTCGCAACCTTACACCCCTACTTCTTTTAACATACAAACATAAACCAAAATGAATATCAAAGATTTACTTAACAATGACTCTGAGACCAGAACAAGTGGTCATATGCTTGATGATTCGTTTTTTGTTAAACGCTCAAATCGGATTGAAGACCGTATTATTGCCCAAGCCTGTGAAAAATTCAACAACAGGAACAAGGTTGCTACCACTGCCCCTATGGACTTTGACAAGTTCTTGGCTGCAGGCAATAGCAATCACAATGAAGCAGAGAGTATGGACACCGATGATGTTCAAGTCGAGTCTGTTGAGGAAATCAACGAAAACATCGACTATATGTCTGGTAAGAAATAAACAACTAAAAAAAACATTAGTATTAAATATAATTGTATCTAACTCTAAAACCCTAAATATATCAGATAATGACTATGGATATTCGCGTGTCCGTAACCCTGACAGAGTGTACAATGCTCCAGTAGACCATGTCACTGATTATGAACATTTTGTTCCCACACACGTGTCCAACAGTCGTGCACAGGCTGTCAGTCTGGAATTGTTTTCCATGTTTTTTGAGAACAACGTCTCTCGTGAAGTCTATGACAAATGCATAAAAATTGTCAACAAGTACATGGCAGAACTTGGATCCAGTAAGTTTATAATTAGTATACTCTTTTTATATCACATGCACTTACCACCATTTTAGCTAAAGTGGATTCACTTCTGTCATACTACAGGGTAGACATCTTGTTGAAGGAGGAGTACCCAGTGAAGTCCGTTGCATACGATATGTGCATAAATGGATGCTGCCGGTTCTCAACAGTAGAAGAAGGAGACTTCATCGACGAGGATGAGACATGTCCTCATTGCGGTGAGGACAGGTACAAAGTGGAGAGAGCGAGTGTAAAGCCTGCACAGACCTTTCAGATCGTGCCTCTCTCAGAGCAACTGCGGTTCGAACTCGCCCACCCCGAGGAATGGGCCAAGATGGCCTATGGTACAAGGTGTTTGGCTGGCAGACGTGAAGATGTACGTGAAGACATCTTCGATGGAGACGCAGTCGGACGGTTACTTGATCGTGGAGTGGTTGGTCAGGATGACATTTTGGTGTCCATGTTTGTTGACCAGTTCAACCCATTTAAAAATGCCAAAATGGCATCCTCTGTTATTCATGTTATTAACCTGAATATTGATCCTAAAGAAAGGTATTTAAAAAAAAATTAATTTAGATAAAGTTACTAACACGAACTACTTAGATACAAGGCAGGTAACATGATACAGTTGGCTATCATACCAGGACCTAACCATCCGAAAGATATCGCTTCGTTTTTGGAGCTGGTTCTCGATGACCTGAGAAACTTGGGGGCAAATGGCCTGCAGTTTCAGACTGATTCTGGACTGGTGATTGCCAAGGTTCATCTTGTCATGGCGACTGGAGATACTCCAGCCGTCTCTGACTTGATGAACCTGGCACATCACAATGCCCATCACAGATGCAGAGCTTGCTTCTCGTATGGTGCAAGAGATTCAAGCACGACTTGTATTGTGGAAAGAGACGGACCGTCACTATTGAGAACAGAAGAGAGTTTGCACCAGTCCGTTGGAGGCGTAAGTTGTAAACTGTTAAACAAAATAAATATTGATACCGTTTTAGATGTACGGCGTCAAAGGGCCCAACATCTTCAAGGACTTGCCCACAATGACCAGTACTGCTTTCTTCGGACTGGATGAGATGCACCTTCTAGGTCACGGTACAGGCCAGCAGCTGTACGTTGCACTTGGAGGAAAATTCTGCCCCACGATCAATGACGGTGGAAGAAATGCACATGGCATTCACTTGCAAGACCGGTTGAAACACCACAGATACCCGTTTGCCCTGGATGTCAGTCTGGAAGATATCGACAAAGCAATTTGTGCATCCAGGGCCGATATACCAGCCGATTTCACAGGAACGTGGAGATCCTTGAAGGAATCCAACGGCAAGAGGAAGGCTGTCGATTGGATAGACTTCCTCTTGTTTGTTGTTCCAACGATTGTCGTCGATCATTTCGTTTTTGATCGTACGAAAGCAGCAGTGATGAAACTTGTTACTGCATGCAGAATTGCCCAGCAGTGGAGGATCACTGCTGCCAATATCCAAGAAGCAGAGGAGTAAGTCAATCGGATATATGCTGATCAGTGTTTTAATCATCTTTATAGGGCCATTGGTCGCTGTCATGCCTTCCTCCGTTGTGAGATCGAAGAAAAGAGGCTGAAGCCTACGGTTTTCGTGACGAACCAGCATATGCTGGTTCATCTCAGCTATATGATGCGGGAGATGGGCCCTCTGCGGGCATACAGTTGTAGGCCAATCGAAAGGACAATCGGTGTCTACAGCGCGGCAATCAAGTCGAGAAAGAAACCAGGAAAGAACATGGAGAATCTCTTGCTCGGAAAGGCAGCAATCCATCACTGTCTTGGTTGCCGACCTGTCATTTGTGCCACAAATGACAGAAGGACCAGCAACTTCGAGGTTGCAAGTAACGATGTTGCTGGTCCTCAACTTTGGTCCAGGCCAACTCGAAGCTCTCTGGCTGAGTTGGCTGCCGCCATTGGCATAGAGTGCCAGGACTTGGTCCGCAGTTTGGTGCCTTTCTGGGCAAGAGAAGGCATTGTTTCCTTTGAGGAAAACGATGAAGTGGTTTGCGCCAACAAGATGTGGAAAGACTCGGTGGTCTATAGAGTCCGGTCCTCTGTTGACAGCAGGCATGGTCGAGCAAACAATCTTGCTGTGCTCGACGATGCCAGGGAGTAAGTAGCACTAGTTGTATTCTACATTGTTAAATTTTATTAATCATAACTCATTTATATTTTTTGAAAGGTATAGATTTATTCTTAAATTCTTCTCCCAAACTGTCAACAGAGTGACCAGACTCTTTGCGGCCATCGACTGTCTTTCCGATGTTCAACGCGTGAACCAGGATCTTTTCCCTGCGTGGGATAGCCTGGCACCTGGTGTGGTGAAGGTGGTGGACGTGAAGTCTATCAAGGGGATCGCTGGCCTCGTCCACGACCCAAACGACGAGGCCATTTGGCACATTATCTGGCCTTTGCTGAAATACAACCAATAGATTTTTTTCTTTTTTTTTTTTTCTTTATTTTTTTTTAATACATATATAAACATTTAATTTCTTTAAAAAAAGCACCCAAAACAATAGCAAAATCTATTCCTATTACCATTTGATTTAAAAATTTTCAATGCCAGAAAAACCGAATTTATGGTATATCTAATTGATTGGCTGTGTTCTTGACTTTGATCAAACTTGCAAACAAAAAACAACAGTCCTCTTTCTTTTCTCATTTAAAACGGCTGTCTGAGTTAAACAACCAAAAAAAAATTATGATTACCAGCACAGAGCTTCTAAAAAGGGTTTAAATTGCTCTAAATTTAGAAAGGCTAACAGGAGTTTTAAATATGTGCAAAGATTTTGCAGATGTGCAGTTTTTTTTTGGAAATCCTTGCACATTAGGGACCTTGGACACATCATATAAAATTTATTTAGACGGAGATTGTGCTCTTAAAAAGGAATAGTGTGTTTCAAAATCGCGTTATTTTATATGATATAAAAACATGATATAAAATGTATTGACCAATCATCTTTCGATATTTTATGCTGTTAAACTAACGATGACATAAAACTTGAAATAAAGAACAAATTATGTTTTCAAGTAAGCATATAAAGAAGTCCATATAGCCCCAGCATTAGGTTTTTTCCCCTTTATTTGCGCAAGCATTCTACGTATACAAATATTAATTAATATCTATTAGCTTTAATGTCTAAAAAATTAAACAGCTATTACAGTTTGAGGGTAAAAAGTAACAAACTTTGGTTCGCACTAATTACATGATTTTAAGTTCGTGAGTTTAGTAAATTAACATGGCCAATAAATGCAATATCACACATTTTCATTGTATATGGAAGCCTTGGATGTGAAACATGAGACCGTATAAAATTACATATATGGTTAAATGTTTCAAAAAAAATTATATGATGTGTCCAAGGTCCCTATTATTTTCTATAGAGCTAGAGAGGAGGAAGTCTGGTGGAACCCAAATCTTTGGTGTTGTAATAATAGTGGTGGTGTGTTGTTCTGGTGGATTGGACTGTTCGAAAGAGACCGTTCGTATTTCTGCAGCTGGTAAATCAGATGCATATTTGGACTAATTGCCGGTGCTCGTGACTTGACGTGTGTGTAGGCCTTGTCCATCGACAGATTCATCATCTTCATCACATAGGCAATAATGATTGTCGCTGATCGGGCCACACCACACTGGCAGTGTACCAGTACAGCCTGACCGCGGGATCGTGCCTGATCAATTGAGCCAATCAGGTTGTTTAGTTCGGAAGTGATGTTTTCTTGGTTATGTGTCCATTGGAGTTTCTTGTAACCAATTGAAGATACGGATGATGGTGATAATGGTGGGCTGCTGATTGTGTCTGTGGATGGTGTATAGAGTAAAGGAGATTCTTTTGTTGTTCTGTTTGCTTTTTTAGGAAAGTAAGGAGAAGAGGGGTCTGGAGTGGCGAGTAGATTGTCGAATGGCTGAAAAAGATGGCTGTTTGAATTATTGACTTCGGCTGCTGCATTGATTATGTATTTGATCGAAAGAGAGTTCAATTGATCGAGATTGGGTGCATTGTGTTCTGAGCCGAGATACAGGTTGGGCAGGATAAGTGCCGGGCCATTTTTGTAAGGGTTGGTCAATTGAGATTCTAGTTCTGGTTCTGGTTCTGGCTTTGGCTTTGACTGTGGTGCTTGGGTCAATTGGGTGGCTGTCTGTTTGGGAATGATTTCCAAGCAAGAGCTCTTGTTTGGCAAGAGACACAACGAAAGGTTCTTTTTGTTTCTTCTCATCATCAAACCAGAAGGTGAGGTTGCAAATAAAGGAGTGGCCATTATGTAGTATTATTGAAATAACTTTTATAAAATGTATGCGTGTGTATATAATATTTTTGCACCTTTTTTTTTCTGTTTTGTTTGTTTGTTTAAAAAATTAAAATTATACAAGAGAAGAAAGAGATAAAAATCAAAATACCACGAGAGCTTTATTTTTATATCCTTTTTTATTTTTATTATTTTTATAGATGTATTTAATGCTTGATTTGATTTGATTTGATTTGATGAAGAAGACCGTGAAGGCGAAACAATAAATAAAATCAGATAATAAAACTGAGGGGCAAAATGTAATATGAGGACCATCCAATCATATCACTAGATCGTAAATTGGGAATTGACCTGAATTACCTTTTGTCCTACCAGCCAATATATGTATAATTATTATTATTATTATATATAGCTAATTTTGTCCTTCATGTCTACTCCAAAATAAGTTTGACTAAAATTCCACATTAAGAAATAAATAATAAGCAATTTAGATCTTCAATAACAAAAAATCAAAATCAAAATCAAAATCAAAATCCAAGCCCTTGACCTTTATGTATAGATGTACCAATTAAGAAATATATAAAATAAAATAAAAGAAAATTAACAACCCATCAATTTTGTTCATTTATTGATTCATTATAAAGAGTACCTACTCCAAATAGACTTGATGATTATAAAAACAGCGCGTGAAAATAGACTATGAGTAAAGAAGCATAGACATAATTAGATATCATTATTATCATTATTATTGTATTTTAATGAAATACACCAGAATGCTTTCAATTACCCTTTCAGCAGACCAGACATCTTCTGTGCTACAGTATTGAATTATCAGAAAATATAAATTTAAAAGAGCCTTTCTTACCCTATTGTCTATATTCTCTGGTTTGATTGGGTCTGGGGCCATCTCTTGTGAAATATTAAAGAGAAAAAAAAGGGTGATTTAGAAATGATAGTAATAATGATAAAGGGGGTAGGATATATAAAATATATATAAAAGAAATTAACCTTTTTTTTCAATTTCGGCTACAACGCGTAGATCAGCTCGATACTACCATATTATACTTCATCTTATTGATTTATTTATTGCTCTGTCTTGAGACTAACCTTTATCGACACAAGCATGAATGCTGTATATTACTCTAGTTGGCTACCATTATATACATATATGTAATACAATACAATTCTAAAGAAGATACTCATCTTGATTTGGGTTCTAAAGATAGTTTCTTGTTTTGTGATCTATTGATATTATTCTTGGCATATTTGACATCTCAATTAAACATCAAAATAAAATAAAGCAAAATAAGAAAAACAAAGGAGTATAGGGAAGAAAAAGAGGGATGTGCAGGAGAGAACGCTATTTGTCTTTTATGATTTATTTTGTGATTATCATATGTGAACAAGATATATATATATATACCTTCTTTAGAAGAAGAATAGAAAATCAGTGTTAGTAATAGTATTGTTATTAAAGATGTATGTATTAATACGAAATAGCTTAAATAAATATAGCTCAAATAAAAGCAATTACTTTGCATTCAATTACATTCAATGCAATACAATACTTCATAATTATAATAGGATCAATTTTTTATAGCCACAAAACTTAAATGCTTATCAATATTTATAATGATTTGTATCTAAAGAATGTCGAACACAAGAAACTTTTTCTATTATTTCTTTGTTGCTTTGTTTCTTTCTTTAAAGAAGAAGAAGAAGATAGCAAGGAGGAAGGGAAGGGGAGGAGACAGAAAGGGGATATTGTGATTAGCAGGAAATATCTCCTGTTTCTACATACATACATACAAATACATAAATAAAACCTGTCTCTTTTTAGCTTTTAGCCTTTAGTTTTCATCTTTGATCTTTGATATCTAAAGAGGTTGCATAATCTTTTGAACAAACAAAAATATTATACATAATGTATGATTATTCATTTCTTGTGAATCATTAACAATGATACAGAATAAAATAAAAATAGACAGACAATCACACAGAAGAAGAAGAAATTATTAGCTTGGCATATTATTATTTCTCTTCATTTGCTTTAATATTGCTACTATTACTATTACTGTTAGTGCATGGTACAGAGTACATTATGCACAAAACTGCACATATTTCCTAATCTAAACCATACATTCCAGGCCAGGGTTCATAATTCAGGGTAAATCTCAGAGCCTGTATCTCACTCAGCTTTCTTTTCTTTTATTCCTTTTAATCGTCTATTGATTCAATCAATAACTTCATTTCATTCAATCATTATTAATATTAGTTGTTTTATTAATGGTGCAACCAGCCAAGCACACAAGCACACAAGAACCCTGAATCATATATATATATATATATATATATTGCATTTGATGTGATGTGATCAACTAGATTACTTTAGTTAATCTAGACTCTCAGCAATAATGACAATAATGGTGCTTGTTGAAACTGACAATCATAAAGTAGATTTCTTTAATAAAATAAGCATCTTTACTAGACGTTCAAGAGATTTTATTTTGTGTATATATATCTTAGTATCTGTGCCTGAGGATCATTACTACCAGCAAAATAAAATAAAATAAAACAAGAGTTAATAACTAAATTAATTAATTAATTTGCAATAGTTGTAGGCTATCGGTTAAACTCAATCTTTATAAACCCAAGAAAATCGTGTATACCAAAAAATAATAATAAAAAACAAAGGCTGATCAAAGCTCTTTGTAACAAGATTTTTCATCACCAAAATCTTCTTCTTCTTCTTCTTCTTCTTTGAACCTTTACGCCTCTGAATCACCCAACAAATTCGCCCCCCCTTCCCTCTCTTCCTCCTCTTTGTATATATTCTATCTCCTCTTCCCTTATCTTATAATTCCCTTTTTGTTTATCTCCTCTTTATTTCTCCTTCTTATTTCTTCAGTCTCATTCAACACATTGAATTTAGATACAAATAAGATTATTATAAGAGTAATTGTTCATGTTAGAATAGAAGATCAAAGAAACCTGGAATCCACTAATGTGATAATGTAATAATGTATGCATTATTGTAAAGTATCATAAAAACCAATTGACCCTGACGCCAAATCCATTCCTATTTATTACTTTATTGAAAACACCTAATGGATAATTAGGTAATTTGTCTTTTATTATTAAGATTTAAGATTTATATCATATCAGATTACCAAATAATTTAGTACAAAACAAAATAACATACATAATATATTTATATATATATCTACACACACACTCTCTCTCTCTCTTTAGATTGCATAAAAAAATATGCATATGGCATTATTATTTCAGAAAATCAAGTCACATTAACATCTATATCGCAACCTATATGTATAATTTAGATATCATTTGTTTTGTGTGTATACATGTGTCTTTCTTTCTTTTTCTCTTTTTGGTGGTTCAATTGTGTACAATAGAAAATAGGCACATTTATCAATGGTGGTAAATTTTGAATTGGTGATATATAATATATATAAAAAGAAGAAGAAGATAATAAAGGGAATGTAAAGATGAAAATCATATGAAATGAAGGAATAATAATAATAATAATAATAATAATAATAATAATAATAATTGTAATAATAATTATAAAAGAAAAGGATCGGAAATGGTAGACAGACAAAATGGTTACAGCTGATTTGTTGTAATGATGTAAAGTTGCGTTCTTTTTTTTTTGTTGTTGTTCTTGTTTTTGGTGTTGTGCATGCAAGTGTTCAAGTGTGCCAGTGTAAATGTGAGTGCCAATGCTAGTGCTAGTGCTAGTGCTTGTGCTTGTGGTAGTGCTTGTGGTAGTGCTTGTGCTTGTGCTTGTGCTAGTGTAAGTACAAGTACAAGTACAAGAGCAGATGTGGTTGCGAGTAGGTCAAGTCTATAATACAAGGAGACAAAATTCCACCTTCCCATGAAGAAAGCCCTGTGCTGTTTTGTTTGGCCTAGACCTCTCTTGTGGTAAAATAAATAAATAATAATAAAAAAAAGAAGAAACAAAATAGAGGGGAAGGGAAGGGAAGATGTGTGTATAAAGAGAGGGGAAGGGAAAGTGGAGAGAAAGCCTGCTTGCTTGCTTGCTTGTTGTATGTAGGTATGTAGGTATGTATGTATATAAATAAAATAAAGAGAACCTCCTATTGTTCTTCTTTTGGTTCGGCTGTTTTCTCCACTACCTTATCCTTTTCCTCCTCCACAACCACCACAACTAGATCATCATCATCATCATCACCACCATCTTCTTCCTCCTCCTTATTTTGAACTTTGGTTTCTTTTGACTCTGATTCTGCATCTGATTCTGACTCTGTGTCTGATTCTGACTTTTTAGTGTCTGCATCTTCAGCGTCTGTATCTTTAGTCTCGGCCTCTTTAGCAGCTTCCTTTTCCTCCAACTCTGCGAGTTCTGTAAGAAGCTTCTTGTGTGCCGGACTGTTAAGACTGACCAGACCTTGCTGGACCTTTGTTTTCAAATCTTGGTGCTGTGGAGCTGGTATAAAAGTACTGGCAATGGCCTTTTGGATAAACGCAAGTCCTCTGGTCTGGTCTGTGATGATCTCGGTCAGCAGTCCGGGAGTTGTCAAGAGTCTGGTGAGGATCATCTCTTGTGCGTCGGTATCCTGGTTCTGGTTGATAAGCTTCAGAATCATCTGGGACCCGAGCTTGTGTGTACAGAGCATCTGTAGATGAGGAACAAAGCGAGACGCGATCATGCTCATCCGTTTCTCGATCTTTGATGCCTCGATCAACCAGGACAGCAGAAGAACACCGTTGGCATTGGTTGCCAGTGCATAGGCATTTTGTGTGAATACCGAAGCAACATATTTCTGCTGTTCGATTGTTGCGTACTGGCTCTCTAGTGTACCGCGTATCGCTCGGGCACCAAATCTTCCTTGGGCAATATGAAGAAGCTTTTCAACAATGGCATCAAATATAAATTGGTTGTCGCCTTCTCCAAGGCGAAGACAGCATTGGACAGCGTAATTTCCAAACTGATCAAGAAGAAGTGGAGGAACGTATGGTTTAAGCTGGTCTGAAATGAGTCGGATCTAAAATAGCAGATATTATATAGATAAATATCATGAGAAATTCGTTTACATCCTCTCATATATATTTGTTACCTGTGCAGGTGTCTTGGCTGTGTCGATGATCTTTTGTGCAGCCCAGGTACCATTCTTATGAACACTGATTGAAGCCAAGTGGGGTGCGATACGAACCAACATAGATGTCTTTGTATCCTCTGCACACTTTTCAAACAATCTCTGAACAACAGTGTTTCCAATATAATCTAGTCGATCAACCGTGAGTCATTTGCTTTGTTACAAGATCAATTCCTCTTTTCTTTTTTCTTTTTTTTCTTTTTCTTGGTAAGTTAAAGATTCCTTACCACTGCTCAATTCTGCAATCTCATCCATACAGTCGAGTGCAATAGCCTCGACCTCCTTTCCACCCTGAGTCGCTGCATCTAACTTCTTTCTAATGTCTCTCAGACGAGCACCATCAAACATACGGTTCGAACCAAGCTCAGGCACAGAAGGTATAGACGTGAAATATCCTCCGGGACCTTGAAGAGCTATATGTACGTACACATACAAAAAAAAAGAGAGAAGTTTGTAAATATTAATGATCCATATGTTCATCTATTCTGCTACTACACACGCTTTAGTATGCTTGCTGCTTGCTCTTTAGTACCTTTCAATGCATCCGGAACTCTGTTTTCGACTCCATACTCTTTCATGATCTGGCTGAGCTCAGTGAGCCAAGTTTCACCATCAGATGTATCCGACTCTCCGTCAGAAGAGCGTTGATGATGATGTTGATGTTGATGCTGATGCTGATGATGCTGATGATGCTTTTGATGATGTTGATGTTGGTTTTGTTGTTGATTCGATTGATTTTGCTGTTGTTGAGGCTGCTGATTCTGTTGCTGATTCTGTTGTGGCTGCTGCTGTTGATTCTGTTGCTGTTGTTGTCCACCTGTAGTCTCTGATTGAGACGACTTGGAAGGAGGAACCTTTGCAAATCCAACTCTCACGCCTACAAACCCCTGAGGAGCAAGCTTGTTCTGAAGCAATGCATCCTTGGCAGCAGCAGCATTAGAAACGAATTCGAAATTGATGAAACCGCAGTTTTTGTGGGGAAGCACTCTAATAGATTCAATCACACCAAATGATGAAAATATGCGCTGAAGAGTAGAAGAAGTGGTCGAACTAGGAATATTTCCAAGCCCTAGAAAACAAATAAATGATCAAGTAATTAGTTTCTTTCTTCTTATTTTATTTTATTTTATTTTTGCTTACAAAGTGCGCGTGTGGGCTGCAATGTGTTGGATTCTGGAACTGCACCATCTACCTTTCCATACCCAATGCGTGCAATACAGTTTCCTATCTTTCCGCCCATAAGTTCAAGAACATTCTGTTTGGCTTGGACAGCATTTTCGATATTATGAAAGTTGACAAAGGCGCACTCCTTTTCAATCAAAAGTCTAATGCTTTCAATCGGGCCGAATGGAGTAAAGATCTGGTTTAGGGCGTCAATTGTTACAGACGTGTCAATGTTTCCGACCCAAAGAGAACGGGTGGGTGCTTGAGTGAGTGGACTGGACGACAGAGAAGCCTGAAGATTTCTTTCATGGAATGTAGGTGTCGATTGACTGAATTGAAGGCTTGGCTGCTTTGAAGAAAGAAAGAGAAAAGAGTAATTAATATATATATATATATATATATATATGCAGACACACACACACACACACATAAGGCCTTTGTTTTTGTTACCTCTCTTGCTAAATGATTACGACCAAGACCAAGTTCATTAGCCTCTGACAAGATCGGATCAGCAAACGGTTGGCCATGAAACAATTTTGCCAAGAGCTCGGTGTCTCCGAGAGATAGAGGCACGTTTTGTTCAGAAAGCTCATCGTTAATATCGCTGCCGTCAAATGAGAAATCTTCGTCTCTGAGTGGAGTAAGTGCAGTTCTCTGCATGCTCCACAAATTAGATACATTGGATCGAGGTGCTTCCATTCGACCCATACTCGACGCTCTCGGTCTGGTCTGCTTTCTGGTAAAACCTTCGAGCGAACTGGCAAATCCTTTGGTCTGGGCGTTCGTGCCACCAAGATTACCAACGTTACCAATATTACCAATATTACCATTACCATTACCGTTAACGTTAACATTAATATTACTATTACCACCAATTCTGGATTGGTCAATGATAGGAGGAAGAATTTCTGGCTGGTAACGAGCGGCTGCGTTGACGGAATAAGATCGATTTCGATTGGCGGACATAATGGCTCTGCTACTGCTACTACTACCGCTGCTGTTACTACCGCTGCTGATATTGTTGCTGCCATTACTGATAAGATTTCCGTTTCCGTTTCCGTTACTGATCCCGTTGGCGTTGTTACTGATACCAATATTGTTATTGATGTTTAGATTGATACTTCCATTACTATTACTATTTCCGACAATATCTGACATGTGAAAGTCCGAAGTGGTCTGTTGTTGTTGCTGTTGCTGTTGTTGATGGTAGAGACTTCTGTTGTTTTCTTGAGTTTCTATGGATGCCTGGGTCTCGTCATCGAGCCCGAGGGAGCGTAAGGTGCGTGCAATTGAGAGCTCATGGTCGTTCTGTAAAAGCTGCTCGGTGGAGGGCGAGGGGGGTGGTTGCATTCTGTGCTGACCAAGACCGATATCAGGAGTATTCCCACGCGACATGGTCCATGGCGAAGAGAATGGTGAGTTGTCAAAGGAGAGTTGCATAGCTGGCATATTGAGGGATCCGGACCTGTGCCGGTTGGAGACGGCGGGAGTCAATAGAAGAGGAGCCTGAGGTCTAATGAGACTTTCTTCAGGGAGATTTGCAAAGGAAGGCATTGTTCCAGCACGTGAACGTCGCATTGCAGGCATTGATGGCTGGGGAAGAGAAGAGACGTTGTGGGAATGATGGAAGGATGATGGCAAGGGGGCGTTTGTCTTTGTGTGGGTTGAGCGTAAGAAACCTAAGGTGTCTGACATGGTAGGGTCTAATGCCTGGTTTGTGAAGCTCATCATAGATTCGGATTTATGTATTTCTGACTCATTTTCTTCAAACATGGTGTTTAAATCTCTGAGTAAAAAATAAATAAATAAATAAAAAATAAAAAATGATGTTAGGTGTTTAGATGAGATGATTAAAAAATAGAGAGGTTGTGGATGAATAGATGAGCCCATCTCTAACCTTGAGCCTGTGTAGGTTGGACCTGGCATGCGATGAAGAGAACCTGACTCCCACATTGAGAGAGATTGTGCAAAGAGGTGCAAGAAGAGCTATAAGGAGGGAAGATGAAAGGAAAAGAAGAAGAGATGAAGAGAGGTTTGTACAGTAAGAAGAGGAAGAAGAAAGAAGAAAGGAAAAGAGAAGTGAAGGTCGATAGGGGCTATTGAAAAAAAAAGAGCGTTCGTGTTAATAGAAGAGAGTGACAGGAGAAAAGGGAGAGAGAGAGAGAGAGAGAGAGAGAGAGAGAGGTGGGGAGCGAGGGGGTATGGTTGTACACAACCAAGTCCTTTCTATTTATTTAAATTAGCGCGCTCATCAAAAGGAGGCCTTAATTAGTTTTTTTTATATTTTTATATTTTGAATCTCTTGGTCAATAATTATAATTACAATAACTGTAACAGCTGTATTAACTGTAATAATAATAGTAATAGTAATAGTAATGGTAATGATAATTATAAGGATATATATATGTTGCATCTTTATTATAGTTCTTTATTAATGGTTATCATCGTTTTTAGGTTTTAAATGACAAATACACACATCTTGTACAAAATCAAGGAAAGAAGACAAGAGAAGGTTTAGCACAGGTATACATTAAACGCAAAGATATTATTAGTATTATTGGATTACTCTTTTATATATGTATGTATGTATTTGTGGTGACCTTTCTTTAATAAATAGAAAAGTACATATATAGCTGTATATAGATATATCTGCTTTGAATCAACCACTCTATGTACACAGGAAGAAGAAGAAAAAGAAGAAGGGGGGAGGGGAGATGGAAGAGGCTCCTTGTTTTAGAGTGTAAAGAAGACAGCTTCATTTACAATACCATACAATACCACCCAATACCATACCATACCTTTCAGTACAGTAAAGTACAGTAAAGTACAGTGTAGTATAGTACGCTATAGAGTGATCTCTTTTTACTCTCTATTTTTTTCCTATATATAATTTGGTTGATTCATTCGATCCATTACCACTAGCAACAAGATAGATATATACATTTGATTTCATTTGCTTACCAGAAGTTATCGAGTCTTGTAACACTCTAACCAAAAATAGCCAGAAATAGCCAGAAATAGCCAAAAATAGCCAAGTAACCAAGCAACCAAGTAACCAAGTAACCAGGTAACCAAGTGATAGTACCAATAGTAAATAGTAGTATCAAAAATAATAAATGATTATTAACTCTGTTTGGTTTTTGGCTTGTATGGCCTGTTATTTTCTTCAACGTTACAAAATTATTATTTATATATATACATTTTTTTTTATTGCTTTCTCTTTTCCCTTGTTATTTTTTTTTATGGCTGAGTTGTTGTGATTGATGTACTGGTTGAATACCCGACTGCATCCTCAACAAAAAGGCACAAGTGTCCCCCATTTGTGTTCATCAACTCTGCTGTACAAAACAGCCGAAAACTAATTTTGTTTTCACTTACCTTGCACTCGGAAATGCTTGGCATCGGAGTGTCTCTCTAGCCGTATCTCTGTTTAATAATTGATTATAGCATAGAAGGTGCAGGGGCCACATGTATTTTAACAGACTAAGGATTCCCATTAAGCAACATATATATATATAAATATTATTCTTATACTTAAATTTTATTTAATTATTATAATTATAATTAACTGCCTATTTACCTTCCAGGTGCTAATATACATCTATACATCTATACATCTATTTCTATATTTTGATGACATTGCATGTCTTTATACCTTGTTTATACATCCTTGAATCATAGCTAATATAGAAGCAGATTATTTTTAAGATCACTATAAACACACATACACATTATTACTAATAATAATAATCTAATTTAGCATTACATAGTCCTGCCCAAACATACACATATATATATATGTAAGAATGTACATACCTGTGTGTGTACATGGGTGTGTGTACATGAAAATGGTTATACATTTAGCAATGTAGATAACAAGGAGAAATATAAACAAGCGAATATAATAGACAAGACGATCTTTATACTTGGTACATTAGCTTGATTATATTTATATGTAT